AGAGAGAGAATTCCAAGAAGGCCCCATGCTTTCAGCACAGAGCCCAATATGGGACTCGAACTCATGAAACATGAGATCATGACTTGAGCCAAAATCAAGAGTCAGATGCTTAACCAACTGACTGTCCCAGGCTCCCCAGACGTACATGCCTTTTAATGAGGGCAAGTTCTGCTTTTCTCACCTCTGTGTACTCAGTGCACCCCACATGGTAAGGACTAAATAAATATTTACCAAATGAATAAAAAAACTCGTGACAGAAGTATAAGGAATGACCCAGGGTGCCTGGCTGGCTCAGTCAGCATGTGACCCCGGATCTCAAGGTTGTGAGTTCAAGCCCCACTCTGGGTGCAGAGGTTAGTTAAAAAGGATCTGAATTGGGGCCCCTGGGTGGCTTAGTCGGTTGGGCGGCTGACTTCAGCTCAGGTCATGATCTCATGGTTCGTGGGTTCAAGCCCCATGTCGGGCTCTGTGCTGACAGCCAGCTCAGAGCCTGGAGGCTGCTTGGGATTCTGTATCTCCCTCTCTCTCTGACCTTCCTCTGCTCAAGCTGTCTCTCTCTCTCAGAAATAAATTAAAAAAAAACATTTTTTAAAAAAGGATCTGAATCTACCTTCCTTATATATGTTTCAATTAAATTCCATGTTTTAAATTATGTGATATTTACATGTTGTACTACTGAAAGTTGTAGAAAGGATAAAGCAGAAAATCCCTCTTCCATCAGGGCCACCCCATGGCACAACTCCAGAGGGCGCCATTCACCTAAAATACAGTGTGGCAGCCACTGCTCCTGCTCAGGACCTTGTCCACCTAATTTCCCTCTCTGCAGGCACAACTGATACAAGCTCTTCTCCATCTTTACAGAGATAGTTTACATGCATTTGAACTGATCATGGGTGTGTTATTCAACATAGACTTCTTTACCTTGCCTTGTTCATTTTATGTCTTTGGGAGATTGTTTCACACCAGGCGTATAGAGTAGCCTAGCCTCATTCTTTTTAATGGTTACATAGTATCTCATTGTATGGTTTGGATGTACCATAGCTAAACCATAGTTTAGCTTTGCCTCTATTTAATCAGCCCTCCATGTATTTAACCAGCCTCTATTAGGTTTTTTCCAAATTGTTTCTGTTACAAATAGTGCTGCCATGTGCTCCCATCACCCCACCCCCTGTTTGAGCACATCTGGAACATGCATTCCTAGAATTGGATTACTTGGGTAAAGCAGAGAAATTACTTTCTAATGGCAGAATTTCAGTCATCTGTGACTGGCATAGCTAAGATTTTTATACCGGGCTTTGGGGTGTGTCAGATCCTTCTAAGGAATGGATGATCTGTGGGCCCCTCTCTGATACATCTGAGACTAGGGGGCAATATTTGTGGGCTTGATAGTTTGTTACTCTCTAAAGAGAAAAGACAATTCACAGTGGAAGGGTAAGCTTCTTAGAATCCAACCAGTGCTCAATGATTAGATCCCTTACTTAGAGTAAGACCTCACTGAGCGTTGAGACACTTGGGTCACTCAGGGCCAGTCAGCAGTGAGTTCACTGAAGGCCCTGGTGGAAAGACTGAGAAGTTCAGGGTTCAGTCCCCAAAGAAACATATGGAATCAAGAGACTCTGGTTCTGGAATCACATTGTAGGGGGAAAGGGGGGGCGGTCCCTGCTATTCCTATGAGGATGTAATTCCGATTAATACCAGAGGATGGAGAGAGGGAGGGATGGATACATAAACACATAGACATAGAAAGGTAGATATCAGTCAAGCAAGCACAAGCTTGGACTTATTTTGGGGTTTGGGCTGCACCACCTAATAGTTAATGGGACTTTAGGGAGCTTCTTTGAGCTTCTCAAGATTCATCCTTTGTCCATAACGGGATTAACAATGTCTTTTATGTGGGGCAGTGGTGAGGAACCAATGGTTGTAAACCAAAGAAGGTAAAGGGTCTGGCACAGTGCCTGGGTTCTCATATACAGTGGGGCGGTAGCTACTATCGTTTATTATATGACTGGCCTTTCTGTCATTGGTATATTGGCAGTTGCCAATAAGCATGTACTTCATGCTCCATTTGACCCCTGCTTCCAGGGGGACTACTCTTTAAAGTAGGGGTTCTCAGCCTTCTTTCCCTCCCGACATGTGGGCGATACTCAGGTACCTGGCACACTCCCAGCATTCATTTCTCAGGGCAGGATTTCAAACTACACTCATTTATCTCCAGGCCAGGAAAGCAACATTATTACAGGAATGACCTAGATCCACTGAAACTTATATTAAAATGATAAATAAATAAAGGAAAGGAAAGGCAATCACCCTCAGATTTGGGTCTTTTGGCTACAATTTGCAAAACAGCACCCAGCTTCCACCTGCGGTCTCATAGAGTAATAGTGAGGGGCAGGTACCACTGGGGGTGCTCATTTCAGTGGGTTTGGGGGTAATCTCTATTCTCTCCTCCAGATACAAAGTGAAGGCCATTACCAGAGGGGTCTGGCAACTGTCCCCACTTGATTATGGAATGGTTCTCTCTTTGACCTTTGCTGAGTGCCTGGCTGAGGTGCTAAGCTTTCCGCAGTGACCCTGGGGAAACACAGACATCCAGGGCCTTAGCTGGTGCCTCGGATGCTTGGCCAAGGGGTCCAGCCTGCCAGGTCCAGGAAGGCTCTCTCAGTCCCGCAGACAAGCTCAGGCTTGACCCGCCAAAGCAGCTGCTTTAATACTCAGTGTCTTCAACTGGGGAATGGAATCCAACCTCACCTGACCCTCCCAGCAACCAACCCCCTTAGCCCAGCAGGGCCAATTCTTCTCTCCTCTGTGTCCCCAAAGCACTTTGTTGTGTGACTATTAAAGCACTCCCTGTCAGTTTAAAATGCATCTCTACCCCTTCTGGGGCAATATTTCTTGTATTTTGTTTGTTAAAGTTTTTATACAATCTCAAATTTTTCATTAAAATGGACGTGGGGTTTGCATGGTTTTCTACCTATGAGACGGGAGTTGAAAACATACATCAGTGGTCTGGAATCTCATTGGGCTCTTCTGCAGCTAGAAAGGGCTGTGGAAAATCTGGCTTGTCCAGAACCTTCACTGTGGACACCACCCTTGAATCCTGCTTTCATCCATCGTCCAGTCAGTCAGCTGGTCATTTAACAAACACTGAACCACTTTTGTGCCAGGCACTGCACTAGACACATGGTATATTGAGATGAAGAAGACACAGGCCGTGCCTTGGAGGCCAACACAATGAGACTGTCTAGCCCTAGATTGTCATAAAATGAAGTATAGGTGACATACAATATTGTGTTAGTTTCAAGTGGACAAATACAGATTTGGCAATTCCGTACCCTGCTCAGTGCTCCCCAAGGTCATTGCAGTCACTGTTAACCACACAAAATTATTGCGATCTTATTGACCATATTCTCTGTGCTATACCTTTCATCTCTGTCATTTTGTTTACCTCTTCATCTGTCGAACCCTAGATTCTGCTGACACCTCGAAACCTCTTTCTAGAGCATGTTAACCTTAAAAATAAAACTGCCAGCAATTTTAGCAGCAAAAACGAGTTTATTTGGAAATAGCAGAGAATTGCAACCCAGGACACACAAGCTGTGGCAACACTGTAGGCAAGTCCAGAAGCAAGTCTGGGGAACAGAGGAGAGGGAGCTCCTTTCCAGAGGGAAGGGGGAAGATGGGAAGGCTGTTAGAATGCAGACGTCCATTGGAGTAAACTGGGAGTCCGAAGTGTAGTGGCCCCTCATTGGCTGAGCTGTGACCGTCACTGACCGGGCTGTTGCTGGGAGAGGAGGAGACCTTTCCTCCTACTGCTGGGATAGTAAACTAGTAGCTAACGTAGTATTGGACTTGGTAAGGTGTAGGTCTTCCTGTTGAGGCTGCAAGACCTCCCCCTGCTGGCCTCTCTCCTCCTGAACTAAACTGAAGGTTTCCTTGAATTAGTTTTCACAAGAAGTCAACATACAGGATTTCTTTCCAAGTGTAATTTCCTGGAGCTTTGGCACCATCTCTATATTTTAAAATCTACGGTATTTTATTCATCCACCGAAAATCTCTGTAAGGCACTCTACTATACCTGGAGTAGGGGGGTGGGGTGGTGAGGTGGGGAATATGAAGAAAAAACAAAAAATCTGTTCCTTCTAGGCACCTAAATCTTTTTTAATGTTTTATTTATTTCTGAGAGAGAGAGAGAGGAGAGAGAGAGAGAGAGATGGTGTGAGCAGGGGAGGGTCAGAGAGAGAAGGAGACACAGAATCCAAAGCAGGCTCCAGGCTCTGAGCCACCTGTCAGCACAGAGCCTGATGTGGGGCTCGAACCCACGAACCATGAGATCATGACCTGAGCTGAAGTCAGATGCTTAACTGACTGAGCCACCCAGGCACCCCTCTAGGCACCTAAGTCTAAATAACAGAAGTCACACACAGACAGAAAATTGGGCCAATTCTTTCATTTGTGATTGCACATGGCATGCATTCATTTGTTCATCCGAGCATAAGTGTTTTTGGTGTGTGCTATGTGCTTTCGCTGTAGCAACACCGTGGGAGGCTCAAGATGTACACTTGCTCTCTGGGTACTTGGGGTCTCCCCGGGAAAGAGGAAGGGAGTTCAGAGTCAAGTGAAACATCAGGCCAAAGTCAGTGGCTCAAAGAACGATCTGGGGGCAAGGAGACCCGATGACCAGTGAGCATGAGCCTACAGACTTCTTCGTAGAGGCAGAGGATTCAAACCAGAAGTGAGGAATGGAAAGGTCTTCAGGAGGGCAGGAGGGAGGACATTCCAGGCTTGGGCAAGGTCATGAGCAAAGGTCTTGAAGTGTTAGGAATTTCTCATTAGAAACTGAGACCCGAAGGGGGTGGGAATAGGGTGGGGAGAATTTGCTCCAAACAGTGCCAGGAAGGGCCCGGTGGGGGGGGGGTGGGGGTGGATACCTGACTTCTCCCAATCTGCCCCCTGCAAGGAAGCTCTGCTTCTCGTTTGTTCTGCTTTCTTCCTTCCCCCAGTCTCTGGCCCATTCAAAGACGTCATGATAACCACACTTCACCTGAAGTCCTGCCTTCCCTCTACCATAAGGTGCTTGATCCTACAAAAGACACCAAACATCAGAAATGTGTCCAGCATGGCTGGGGGTAAGTAGTGATAGACGTTTCAAAAAAGAAAGAAAAAAGATCCCTAGAAATACCAGTTGTGCCGGGCCCAGGAATTCCTGAAGTTTCTAGCTTCTGCCTGGGAAACAAGAAGTAAGAGTAGGATGATATTAGCTCTGGTCCCTAACTAATGTTCCAGCAGGAAGTCTGGCATGTGGACCAGACTCAGGCGTGAACACCGTACCAGGCGGCTTCTGTACCACCAGTTCTGCTTGGTCAACCCAGCTCCACGGGGAAAACCGCCAATGGCCTCCCATGATGCAAGGGGTTTTCCCTCTGGGGGAAGAGCACCCCCAGATTCCACCACATTTTAACTGGTTTTTGATTCAGACCAGATTTTGGTCTGTTTTGGTCCCTGTTTTGGTCTTCTCTGGGTGCACCATGTCCCCAGTCTCTTAAAGGAGTGGCCCTCAAGGCTCTGAAAGGTCCTGTGAGAGAAAACAGCCATCAATTGTCACTGACCCAAGTCCCAGCAAAATTTCATGACACCAAAGGCTTTTCTGATTACTGGAATCACCAAAGATAAAAACCAGTAGCATGGTTTAAAGTGCTAGAGCAGGACAGTGTTCATTATTTATTGACATATCTGGCCTCTGTCGCTATTTCTGGACCAACAGAATTCTCTGTTATTGCATAACAAACACCCCAAACTCACCAGCATCCGCCATATTCTCCAACGATGCTGGTGCTTAGTGGGGTGTTTCTTCTGCTTCACGTGGTGTGGTGTCTTCTGGGGCTGGATCATCCATGATGACTTCTTCCTCACATGCCTGGAGTGTCCACTTGGAGCTCTGGAGCACGTGGGGCTGACCTAATGCTTCTCTATTGCTAGGAAGCCTCGCCAGCAGTGGTAGCCAAACTTCCTTACAAGGTAGCTCAGGATTCCTGGAGGAGGAGCCGTAATGCCCAGGCACATATCGAACACCTGCTTGCATCATACTTCCTAACGTTCCATTGGCAAAGCAAGGCACGTGGCCAAGGACAGAGTCAACAGGGAAGGGGCCACTCGGGGCTGTGAGCACTAGGGAGCGTGCTTTGTAGAGAGCCGTCAGGGTAATAGTCTCGCACAATTCTTGGTACACATGACGTACCAGCAAACCCCAGCTGAACCCACTGCTCGCTAGAACCCCAAGGAATCAGGAGGGCGGAGTGAGTCAGTCTGGATATGTGTCCCAGCTTGGCTCCGCCTGGCGGTGGCTGTGGGTAAGGTGTGTGACCTCTCTAAGCTCACCTGTACATGGAAAGTAACAGCTCAGTCCTCCGCAGGAGGAGTCACCGAGCTCCTGTGGGTAAGATGTTCCATCCAAGTCAGCCACTGCCATGGAACGTTCCACAAGGAAAGAAGCTCATTCTACAGAACAGCTTGGGACTGTGTCTTCCAGGGCTTTACATCAGATTAGGAACATTAGGGGTGCTTCTCTCCCCCTCTTGTCATTAAGTTAAAAAAAATAAAGAAAGAAAGGAAAGAAAGGACAACATTGCTTTGAGGTAAAAGGACTCGGGAGACTCACTTCATTTCTCCTCACAAAGAAAAAGCCATCATGACCTTAGATGGAGCCGGAGAAAGCCAGGGGATTCAGGAATCAGCTCAGACCCTCCCCTCACTAGTCCGCCACCCCCTCCACAAAGCCACCATGAGCCCTCGAATGGTGTCCTGTTACTAATGGGAACAAGTGGGAGACTTGTTACCATCAGCAGTGGAGATGAACAAAACGAAAACACAGTGCTGTCTGAAGTGCATTTAATTAAAAAGGAAACAAAGAAGCTTTGTGTGCATAATACCTCTGATTTGCAGTATTAAAAATCCAATTTGCTCTCGCAACAGGCTTCGGAGGTAAGAAAGAAGGTGGCTAAGGAAGCCAGGCTTCTAGGCTGGCTGGATTCCCCGCCACCTCACTCCAGATTATTTTTGGAGACATTCTGGGCTTGCTCGAGACGTGCGGTCAGCTTCCTTGGGCTTTCAGCAGCTGGGACTGTCCAGCTTGTCCTCATTGTCAATGTCTGTAGCATTGGCAGGCACCGAGGGCTTGAGGCAATGAGTTCCAGGATGTTAGAGCAGAAGCTGGTACTAGAACTTTCCCTGCAAGATAGTTGCATCTACTTGTATCGGCTTCTTTCTACCATCCCCAAGGAGGAGGGTTCCGGACTGGATGGTGGACCCATCCTACGAAGGTCTGATGCCTATAGCCCAGTGGTGACCCTAGAGGGACCCAGAGGTCCGTTGTCTCAGGCTTAAATCCTGGCCACGCCATACACCAGCCATGCGAAGTCACTTCATCTCTTTGAGCCTTGTTCTCCTCATGTATAAATGACTTAGCACAGAGAGCTCAGGAAAATATCCTAGCTAAAGAGAAAATATTACCTGACACCATCACTGTGGCAAAGAGATGCTTATGTGTCAATACAGCAATCTAACGTTTGGGAGAATTGTCACCAAGGTTATTTCTCCAAAAGCAGCATAATTATGTTTTTTCTTTGGGATGCTCTGTTTAGAAGAAACAGTCCTCAAAAAAACCCATAAGTTTTCTTGTTTGTTTTTTCTCCAGTTACAGAACGACACCTATTTATCACATAAATTCTAGATTTGAGAAAAGCACAAAAGAGAACGTTAAAAATGGCCAAGTCTTGTTACAGGAGATAACTGTGATTAACATGTAGATGTATTTCCTTCTAGTTCTTTCTCTTATCAACTGTCTAGAAAGGAGAATGTGCCCAGCACACACTTTTGTTATCGAGTATTGTTCCTTTAACTATATGTTACATCTTTTACCATCATTAAATACTCCTTCTGTGCCACAATTGTAAATGTCCATGCAAGATTCCACTGAATGAATATGCCTTCAACCCCTACTTCCTGTACACCTGAGTGTTAGGTAATTAACACACAACATTGAACTCCCAGGGTCTCTTTGAGGTAGGTGTCATTACTGTCATCTCATCCATGGACCACACTGCTGGTCAGAGGCAGAATCGGGATTCAAACACAGGTTTGCTTACCTCTAAAGCCAGAGGACTTCCCATTCCAGAGGAGAGCTCCTTACCCCCAGAGGACATCGTGGCATGCGAGTGGAGGGTCTTCCTCTATAGCTGCAGGAAGACTATCTCCTTGGAGGGAGAGTCAAGAATTCTATGAGCCTGCTCAGCCAAGAATCTGCCCACTCAGAAGACATGAGCAGTCCCTTTCCCACAAAGTATACCTAAATGTCCAATAAAACCTATGAAAATCACTTAGCTGCATTGGTCTTCAGGGCCATACAAATTAAAACCACAATGCAAGGCCACTACACACCTGCCAGAGTGGATGGAATGGAAAACATAGGCAACACCAAGCACTGGAGAGGATAAGGAACAAGCAAGAACTCGCAATATAAATTGGTACAACCACTTTGGAAACCACTTAGCTGACCATGTATATACCCTGCAACCCTAGGTGCATGCCAGACAGAAAGGCATCCATGCGTACCCCAACATGCATGTATTAAAATGCTCATGGCAGCACCATTTATAATCACCCCAAACTGGAAGTCGTTCAAATGTCCACCCACAACAGGATTGGATAAACACATTGTGGTAATGAGTATATCACACAGCAGCGAGAATGAACCAGCTATCATCAAACACAGTGGTATGGATGGATCTCCCAGACATGTGATCAAGTGACAGAAGCCAGACTCCAAAGACTCACCTTGTATGATTCTGTTATATGAAGAACAGGCAAAAGTAATCCGTGATGTTAGAAGTCAGGGTAGCAGCCACCTTCGAGGCTGGGGTGATTGACTATAAGGGGCATTAGAGGGATTCTGGGATGCTGATAGTGTTCTGTTTCTTGACCTGGGTGTTGGTTACACGGGTATGTTCATTTCCTGAAAATTCCTCGGGCTGTACACTCATGGGCACTTTCCTGTGCTGTGCTGCAACAGAGAGTTCAAATGGAAAGACTCTGCGAAGAGACCACTGACTCTGCCTGTGTCCCTCCTCTCACCAAACCCAGGGCTCCGGCCAGCCAGCGTGGTGGTCCTGCACAGGTCCCTGGCTCCAGCCTTTGAAAAGTTCTGCCAAGCCAACAGTGGCGCTCTGCCCCTGCTGGGCCTGACCGAGCCAGGCAAGTGGACGTTGCCCGCCCCGAGCGCTGTCCCGGACACCAGGTAAAAGGCGGGGGTCACCAGGGTTCAAGTGTGGCGGTGGCCACATGCAGCAGCCAGCATGGCTGTCAACAGGGACCTATTTGGCCAGTCATGGGGATCCTCAGCATCTGGTACAGAGCCTAACTCGTGACTCTTGTTCACGGACCAGCTGCTGTCCTTCCCTCCATTCCCATCCTTGTCCCTGTCCTGGTCCCTGCCCGGGGAAGAATCTTGGGGGTCACCAAGATAGTCGTGCCCTACCTGGAAAAATGCTGGCATCTGCAGCCGCCCTCTTCCTCACCTAAGCCAGACATCAGCAGCCCTGGATGAAGAAGGAGGTGAAAATACTTGCACCGCTGATACCTACCCAGAGGTGGCCGTCAGTAACACTGTGGGCATGTTCTCACAGACTTAGAAGACATAACGCATTGAATAAATGGCCCTACTGATTCTGCTTCTGCAGTAGCACCCCAGCGAGCCCACCTTTCTCCCACACGACCCCAGCTCAGGCTCACGTCTCTTCTACTCGCCCACCCAAGTGGCCCTTCCTAATGCTACACCTGATCACGTGACTCCCCCCATTTAAAATCTTCAGTGCCAGGGAGCACCTGGGTGGCTCAGTCGGTTAAGCATCTGACTCCGGCTCAGGTCATGATCTCATGGGCCATCAGTTCAAGCCCCTGCATCGGGCTCTGTGCTGTCAGCTCGGGGCCTGGAGCCTGCTTCGGATTCTGTGTGTCTTTGTGTCTCTGCCCCTCCCCTGCTCATGCTCTGTCTTTCTCTCTCAAAACTAAGGAAATAATTTAAAAATCATAAATAAATAAATAAATAAATAAAATCTTCAGTGACTTGCACCTTGGCCTGATATCAAGACCTGTAGTGACCTGGCCTCTGTGTCTCCCCTTACCCATGATGCTCCAGCCATCCCCAGCCATGTCCCCAGAAAGAAAGCTCCCCCCAGACAGTCTGCTGTTACCATTTTGTGGACTCTGGGGTAGAAGGGTCCTTCATAGACCCCACCTGGACCCGAGGTCAGTTCCTGCTGTTTTTTTTCTAGCACCTCCTATGCTACTATCTTGGGAACTCCTAGAACAGATCGCCCAATGGTCACATGTTTGATGCCTCCATGCTGTTCACATACTGTTCCCTCTGCCTAGGATGTGCTTTCCTCCTTGTCCAGCTGGTGAACTCCTATTCACCCCTCAGGACCCAGCTCCAGCACCTTCCCCTTTGTGGTAGAGACTGGGTTCCACCCTTCCCTGGGTTGCTCCTCTCCCCATGCTGTTAATACTCACTGCTCTGTGTAGCAAGTATTTGTGTTTAGTGCAGTCTCACCTGCCTGTGTACGATTGCACACTTCTTTTTTTTTTTTTTAATTTTTTTTTAATGTTTTATTTATTTCTAGGAGAGAGAGAGAGAGAGACAGCGTGAGCAGGAGAGGATCAGAGAGAGAGGGAGTCACAGACTCTGAAACAGGCTCCAGGCTCTGAGCTGGCAGTCAGCACAGAGCCCGACGTGGGGCTCGAACCCATGAACCGCGAGATCATGACCTAAGCGAAAGTTGGACGCTTAACCGACTAAGCCACCCAGGCGCCCCCGATTGCACACTTCTTACCAGTGGGCCAATGTCTCTCTGTCACTATTGTCCCACCACTTGTGCTTGGCACAGGAATGGCTCAACAAAATAACTTTGGAGTGAATGAAGCATAGGCTTATCACCAAAATATTTTAACTCTACAGAAAAGTTGCTTTTTTTAAAAGTTCATTTATTTTTGAGAGAGCGTGCAAGCAGGGGAGGGGCAGAGAGTGAGACAGACAGAGAGAGAGAGAGAGAGAGAGAGAGAATCCCAAGCAGGCTTCACACTGTCCGCCCAGAGCCCGACGTGGGGCTCAAACTCAAGCACCTGAGCTGAAATCAAGAGGCCTAAATTGCACCACCCAGGGACCCCATCCCCCATTCTTTTTAAAAATGCATGGTCACGGGCCATGTTGATTCTGGGCCTGTGAGCTTCCTCCTTGTGTCCCCAGGACAGGCCGTCCCCAGTTCCGGAAGTACGAGTTTGGTGCCTGCACGGGCAGCCTGGCCTCGCTGGAGGAGTATTCGGGGCAGCTGAGGGACATGGTGGCCTTCCTCGTGGACTGCAGCTTCTCCCCAGAGGCAGCCTTGGAGAAGGTGGGGCTCCCCAGAAGAGCCTCCACAGGCCATGGTCACGTGGGTGCATACAAGGTAGGGACATAACCTCCAAGCGCTGAATGACCTGAAAACATGGATCACCTTGTATTTTCCTGTGGTGGGGAGAACATTGACACAGGAGGCAGGAGACCAAAGTGGCCCCAGCTCAGCCACTGTCTTGCTGTGCAACCCCAGACAAGTGGTTAACCTCTCTGAGCTTGTTCCCTCATGTGGAAAATGGGGTGTCCAGCCTCTCCCCTGCCCACGTATGGGATCGCTGTGAGTGCCCAGTGTGCCCTTGAGTGTGCAGGTCAAGCCCTTATAGACAGATCATGGCGTCAGGCCATGTAAACCAAACCCATTTGGAATTGTCTGGCTCCTTTAACTTAGAGCATCTCAGTGAGCTCTTTGAAAATCCCCCTTGGCTCAAACTTGCTGGCGCCGGGCAGAATGCGCCTGGCCAGGTGAATGCCTGGGGATTTGTGGCAAGGCCTTGGCCAGCCTGTTGGCTGCTGGGTTATGTTTCTGTCAGGAAAGCTGGGTCATGTTCTTGGCCAGTGGGGGCCCCGGTGGTCGCCTCTCTTGGGATGCGCCCAGTGTTAGGGGTCACCTCCCTGCTGGGTCTCTGAGGTTCCTTCCATCCCAGCCACTGCTTGTCATAGCAAGAGAACCAGATTCCCTCGTTCCACTGACGCCTCCCAGGCCCTCATGGGAAGCCCACGATGGCACCGTGCTGGAGGGTCGGCCAGCCAGTGTCAGTGGCCGGGGGCAGGTTTCTCTGTGGAGGACTCAGACCGCGGATTGTGTCCTGGGCTTCTGGATATTTATTAAAACTTGCTGGTTTGGGCTCCTGCCAGAAAGGCCCAGGCTGCCTCTGATGAGAAACCATTTTCCTGAGTGAAGCATGTGCCTGAGCGGGTTTTCTTAAAGGTGGGGGTGGGGACAGAGTGCGGCCACTGGCAGAGGCCAGGGGCAGGGTTGTGCCCCACACGCACCGCCACTGGCAGCAGGTAGGTCATGGGCAATCTTTCATTGAGATGAGGGAACTGAGGCCTGGAGAGAGGAAAGGACTTGCCCATGGCCCGAAGCCAGACTGCGCCCTAGGGCTCCTGGCTCCCGTCTCTAAAAAGTCACTCACTAGTACAAGTGTGACGATTAAGGGATGCTTTGCGCAGAGTGTTCATCTCTGCCCATGGTAAGCGCTCAGCCTTCGGTAACCAAATATCCTTCAGTTCAGCACGGCTGCCTCTGGCCCTTGGCTCCTGGGAGAAACGGCGAGGCAGCCATCTTGGATTCAGGTGGGGCCCTGAGGGGCAGCCTCGGGGAGCTCTGCCTGTCCCCTGTGAAAGTCCCTGACACATGTCCCTTCCCCAGTGCTGTGATTCAGACCCCAACCGGGCAGGCACGCTGAGGTTTCATCCAGCGGCCACCAGCGGCCTGCCAGGGAGGAAAACTTGCCCCTTCTTCCCTTCTAGGCCCTTTGGCTGGTCTGACACTTGGACTGACAAGAGATGGGTTAACAGGAGGAAACCACATTTCATGTCGTACCTACAGAAGCCCCAAAGATGCGAGGCTCAAAGAAGTGATCAAAGCAGGCAGCTTTTACACCTTTCAGACAAAGAAACAATGAACTTGTGAATAATTGACAAGACAAAGAAGTTTGGGCCTGGGGTAGGAAATTAGGAGGAAGTCACAAGGTTTGTTTATACAGCCCTCTGGGCCTTGAATTTCCCATCTCTGGCAATAAAGATGCCTTTTTCCTTCTTGGTACAGGGAGGGTCCCTCCACGTGGGAGATTTATTTCCTACTTTTGGGGGGGGAGGGGCAGGGGAGGGGAAGGGTGTAGAGTGTTTTTCTTGCACTGGTGGTTTCTCAAGTAACTTTAATTCAAAATAATCCATATGCCACACCGGTGTATTTTGGGGTGGCCTATCTCCCCCCTCAGGGCCAGCAGCAAGGCCTTGGGGCAGCAGCCACGACTGTCCCAGTGGATCATCATCGTGGCCACATCCTAAATCTTTCATAAGCCCCACTGCAGCCACCAGAAACCATTCAGACCACAAACAACACCAGTGAAAGTCACTCAGGTCATTCTAAGGCAGGGGGAGCGAGGCAGGGCTCAGCAGGGCCCCTTCCCCAGTGTGGACTCACGAGGCAGAGCAGACTCAGTGGTTCCCGAGACATCCTTTGCCTTTGGATCCCTCTGACATTGACTCTCTTCGAGGGCTTCACCCCTGGTCCCTGGAGGTCCGTGGAGAAAATTCAAAGGACCCATGGAATTGGATGGGAAAAAATTACATCTTTACTTTTATAGCCTCAAACTGAAACTGAGCACCTCCTCTGATTATGAACGCAGACGAGGAACTACCATTGTATCAGCAGACCCTGTGATTTTGTGGCTGCCTGGAGAACTCCCAGATATGATCATGTCTCGTGGCCGTTCAGATAGCACAGAAATACCCTATGTGTTGATCACTACACCAAAATTATAATGGTAGGTCTGCGTCTTGTTCCCCAGGCTGTTAACGAAGGATACAAATCACTGCATCACATGTTTTCATACTTTGATAACTGCAATTGCAATATAATTGGCTTCCTTTGTAAACCTATGCATTTGTTATGTAGTTAAAAATGTTACTTTAAGTGGCAGCTCCGAGCTACCAGAGAGTCCACAGCACATACAAAGTTCTCTGTTTTAGACCAATAAATACCGGCAGGCTTTCTCATTCCTATGACACAGGAAAGTAGAAGCTATATGGGGCACCTGGGTGGCCCAGTCGGTTGAGTGTCCGACTCTTGATTTTGGTTCAGGTCATGATCTCACGGTGTTGTGGGTTCGAGCCCCCCATCTGGCTCTGCGTGGGCAGAGGGGAGCCTGATTGGGATTCTCTCTCTCCCTCTCTCCTCTGCCTCTCCCCTGCTGGCACTGTCTCTGTCACTAAATAATATAATAAATATAATACAATACAATATAATATAATTAATCAATCTTAAAAAACAAACAAAAAATAGAAGCTATAATTTCATAATAGCTGCTTGCGCCCCCTCCTTCATTCAGCTGCCTTGAATTCCTGGTGCTCAGGCTTTCAGTCTGTGTTAATTCCGTTTTTTCAACATGTTTTCCTTGATTTCTTTTCAGACAACAGTGCCTTGTGCCACCATTGCTGGCTTTTGCTGCCACCTGGTGGTCACAATGAGGCCCATCCCCAAGGACAAGCTGGAGGGGCTGGTGCAAGCCTGTTGCTCCACGGGGAATAAGGGACATCCTGTTCATATCGGCCACCCAGGTGAGTGTCCGCTCTCGTTCGTGATTCCGACAGGCACCCCTGAACTTCAGCCTGAGAAGACAGGAACTTGCTAAGTTCCTGAACTCCTCCGGCTTGTCCTCATTTTCCCCAAGAGTCCTGGGGATCCCGGACGAGGCTCAGACTCCTGCAGCAGCAGAGTCTGGCTGGGTATAGAGGCCCCTCAGGTTTCAAGGTGTTGCCCTTGGCAGAGTAGTCAGTCTCACCCATCAGCTCCCATGAACTTCAGGTGAACTTAGGGGTGACAGCACAGCTGCTTGTCCCGGGACTTGAGCTCAGAGCAACCTCTAATCCAGGCTGTTGGTCGGTGGCATATTTGGCAGAGGAAGGCTTTATTCTAAATGTTCACTTGAACGGATCCCCAGGGTATTAACTCAGTCTGAGAGCGAGTGAGCAGATCTAAGAGCGGCCGCTGTCCAGACCTCCTCATGGTTCTCAGAGGGACTGGTGAGCGCTTGGGACTGGGTCTTGGGTGAGATTCAAAGTAAGTGAACTTGCTCAGCTGCGTAAAAAAAACAAAACAAAACAAAACAAAAATGAATCAGAGAAAGCCTGGTTTCTCTAAAGATGCAGTCAGCAGCAGGCCCCTTCCTCAGAGAAAGATGATCTCAGGACCACCCGAAGCAAAGTGCATTGATGAATCATTGAATTGTCCACTCATCGGTGGGGCTGGGTCGGGCCCAACACATCCCCCTTTGCTGGTACCAGGATAAACGTTGGCTCACAAATGCTGGCTCGGTTAGTGGCCTGCACAAGGTGTTGGGCTAAGTGCACCTCCAGCAATCATATCAGGCACCTGAGATGCTGAGTGATGAAACTACTATTCAGAATGGACTAGAAGCTGGCAAGCATTCTGGATTGTTGAAGCCCTGAGTCCTTTTCTCCAGTCCCATCAATGGCAATCCTAGGACCAGAGTTTCTCTGAGAGAAAGAAACATAAACCGCTCAATGTGTGTCAGCTTGGATGGGACCTTCAAGGGCAGGACCCGATGGGCTTCGTTTTCATTTTCTATTTGCAGAATGGTTGGGAATCAAAGATCTTTCCAGACCTGACTATGGGGAGCCTGTGGTGTGTCAGCCGGGGGACATCCCAGTGTTCTGGCCTTCTCCGATGACCAGCCTCGAAGCTGTCAGCAGCTGCAGTAAGTCCGGGCTTGTGGGGGGCAGTCACTATGACCCAGGATGGAGACTGGTGGGTCTCCAGTTCTTGAAAGCACAGACTTACAGTGCGATGATTTAGGAAATAGAGTCATGATGGGCGCCTGGTGACTCAGTCAGCATCTGACTTCAGCTCAGGTCATGATCTCACAGTTCATGAGTTCGATCCCAGCATCGGGCTCCGGGCAGACAGCACAGAGGCCACTCCAGATCCTCTGTCCCCCTTTCTCTCTGCCCTTCTCCCCCACTCATGCTCTCTTGAAAAATAAGTACACATTAAAAACAAAAAAGAAACAGAGTCACGAAACAGAACATATACAGATCTCACTGGCTTCCTTCTTCTCTTCCCAGGGCTGGGTCTCTCAGCCTGTCTCTCAGCTCAAGAATGCTTTGATATAATATATTTCTCACTGTCAAAGAGTCCCAGCCTGTTCTGATAGAAAGACCAATATCTAGCTTGACTTTCTGAGACATTTTGTAGGTGGGTGGGGCTTCTGAAAACCGGAGTGAAGGTAAAGAGTACAGCTAAACACACCATTTCACATGGTGTTTGCAAGGTGCAGCGGGTCCCCCTTATCCTTGGTTCTGCCTCGGGAAGCTTGTTACCCACAGTCAACTGCAGTCACGAAGCAGACGATTCGTCAGAAGGTCTATAGTGGCCTCACTCTACATCACAGTGCCTGTGTCACTCACCTCGCTTCCGCTCATCACGCAGGCATGTTCTCACCTCACATCGTTGCAAGAAGAAGGGTGTGTACAGTACAGTAAGGTATTTTTAGAAAGGGAGGCGTTCACATAACCTTTGTTATAGTACATTGTTATCATTGCTCTATTATTAGTTATCCTTCTTAATCTTACCGTGTCCAATTTGTAAATTAAACTTTATCATAAGGAGGTACATATAGGGAAAAACAGTCTCTATAGGCTTCGATGCTATCCGTGATTTTCTGTCCCCTGGGGGTCTTCGAAGGGATCTCTATACCGCAGGACCTCGGTGTTTTAAAGAGATACATACGGTCAGTTTATTTTTTTCCAAGGTGTAGGGTGCTGTTACAATGAAGCGACACAAGGGGGCGCCCTAACCAGCTCACAGTAAGGTCGGGCTGGGATAAAATATTAACTATTGCGGCCCATTTCATGGACACTGGAAAATTCTAGCCAGGTCAGCCACACCTGCACCACAAATCATAGAATTTAGTGTTTCTTTAATTGATTTTGAAGGCATTCATATGACTTTAGCTATCAGAATGGCCTCGTGACAGGGGGAGATTAATACAGTTAGGAGATCCATGGGATTCTATTATCTAACAGTAAATGTATTAGGCACCTGCTACGTGCCAGGCGTGGACCCAGATGTTGGGAATAAAATGCTGCATGAGACAAGATGCAGTTCTCAGGGAGGGTGTGGTCATTTCTGAGTGTGTGTGGGCTCATGTGTGTTCACACGTCCACACACGTGCAGTGTGGACGTGCAGTGAATACTATGTAGCACGGTGGTCTCACCCCCTCCTGCCACCAGCCACAGGGGCTGCCCTTTACTGCAGCAAACTCCAGCCCACTAGCTCTGGCTTGAAAGAGCACGCCTGTTTGTATGTGAGACCAAATGACATCACTAGTTTAGGGATGACCTGGAGTATTTCTGATTTACAAAAGTCATGCTCAAACTTCTATGTGCAAACTCTTAGTGATAGATTAGTTGCTACACGCCTCACAGCTGACGGGGCAAAACCCCGTGCCACACTCTGAGACGACTGTTCTGATGTGTACCTGACATCAGAGTGACCGGTTTTAGATGCTGACCACCACACAGAAGAGGAGTGATTACATTCGTCCAAATCCTTAGTTCTTGCCTATCTAAAAATTAAGTTAGAGTGCTTTCTGCAGTTATCAGTAGGTGTTTCTTCTGCAGTGTCGACTAACTCTGGCTTTTTGTTAAGTCTGAAAAAAACTGTGACTGTTTTCTGTGAAATCCGAGACTCTTGTGCATTGAGACACTCAATTCTGAGATAAATAAACAGTGGTCCCTCATCTCTGGGAGCACAGAGCTGAGTGGGGTGAAAGCACTCTTGGATAATAATGACAGTGAAGAAAGCTGACAGGGTAAATGAAGGGCAGTAAGTATTAAGCACCTAAATGGACCAGGCACGAAAGCATAGGATTAGTAAGATACTGTGCCTGATTCAGTCGTGCAAACCATCATTTATTGAGGGTTTCCTCTGAACCACTTTGCAAGAACACTTTTCTGTGCACTTTCCAGTTTAGTTTTGACAACAAGCATCTGAAGCATTATCATTATGATATAGTTGAGGAAACACGTTTAGAGAGGATAAAAATCTCATCTCCGACTGCTTGGCACACCAAAGCCAGTTCTAAATAACTATGCTAGCGTGCCGGGATTCACATTGCCCGGGATTTAGTATGGGAGAGGTGTGTTGTTTTGTTTGTGTGAGAGAGGGAGGGTGCGAGAGAGAATGTGTGAGTGGGAGAGAGGCAGAGGGAGAGAGAGAGAATCTTTTTTAAAAATGATTTTTATTAAAAAATATTTTTAAAGGGGGGGCACCTGGGTGGTTCAGTTGGTTAAGAGTCCAACTTCAGCTCAGGTCATGATTTCACGATTCGTGGATTCGAGTCCCACGTCAGGCTCTGTGCTGACAGCTCAGAGCCTGGAGCCTGCTTCACATTCTGTGTCTCCCTCTCTCTCCGCCCCTCCTCTGCTCATGCTCTCTCTCTCTCCCTCAAAAATAAATAAACTTTAAAATATTTTTTAAGTTTATTTATATATTTTGAGAGAGAGGACACAAGCGGGGGAAGAGCAGAAAGAGAGAGAGAATCTTAAGTAGGCTCCATGCTCAGCACAGAGTCCAATGTGGGGCTCAATCCCACCACCCTGGGATCATAACATGAGCTGAAATCAAGAGTCAGTTGCTCAATGGACTGAGTCCTTTTTTTTGGGGGGGGGGGGGAGAGTTTTTTAAAGAACAAAATTAGCATGTACCAAATCAAAATAAAAGTCCTATGGGAAAAATAGGAGCTATGTTCAGAGAGAGCTATTTATTAGCAAAGTATAGAGAGATGGCTTCATGCATTGTAAGAGTTCAGTACGTACCCTCTGATACCCATGGATTAAACTGACAGAAACTCCTACAGCCCTATCTGTAGCTGTGGCTGTACCTCCCTTCTCCCGTATTCAACTCATCTTCACTTTCCTAAAAATTGAGGCACCTGTTTAAGTGGGACTTGATTCAGCCATAAGACAGTTTTCTCTTAGTGCAACGAGCCTCGAAGCGCTGTTGGCAGAACTGAGGCATGGCGCCATCTTGCCCGTCAGCAGTGAGCTAGAGGAGCATGGACTGAGTTTGATGAAGTGAGTGCATTAGTCCCTCCTGTTGTGTGTTTTAGGGACCCCGCTGGCTTTCACCAGTGCACCGGGCTGCACAGTCATGACCAACCTTAAGAATCCGGAGGCTCCAGCCAGTCGTTTTACCCCTGAGGGAATTCCTGAGGTCCATCACATTTCCCAGGATCCTTTGCACTACAGCATTGCGTCGGCTTCAGCTGTTCAGAAGATTAGAGAACTAGAGACTATAATAGCCGCAGACCCAGGTAAGAAAGTTCACACCTTAATGACCTGGAGAAATTCATCATTGACGTAATGGTCAGTGAAAAAGGCAGCATGCAAAGTGCATGCATTACAGTGTAAATTTTTTATGAAACGAGAAGGATTCATTCCTCTTTATTTAAATAACACTATCAAAGAAAAGAAGTTGCTATTGTATCAAGAAAGTAGGCATAGCCTTGGGACGCCTGGGTGGCTCAGTAGATTAAGCACCTGATTCTCTGCAAGGGGCGTGGAATCTCCTTATTAAGATTTTCCTCTCTCTCTCTCTCTCTCTCCCTCTCCCTCTCTCTCCCTCCCTCTCTCCCTCTCTCCTTCTCCCTCCCTCCCTCCCTCCCTTTCCCTCTCTCTCCCTCTCCCTCTTCCTCTCTCCCTCTCTCTCCCTCCCTCTCCCCCTCTCTCTTTCTCCCCACTCCCCCTCAAATAAATAAAAGAAAATAAGCATAGCCTTAATGTCATGCTATTACATTTTTCATTAAATTATGGAAATTGAGGCTTCATCCAATGTGTGTCAAGATTTCACTTATAAGGTCATTCTAATGAATGAATGTTTTTGAGGTATAAACTTCAAAAACAATGTTATTACGAGGCTTCAAGGTATTTAGAATCTAGGGATGCCTGGGGGGGCTCGGTCAGTTGAGTGTCTGACATTGACTCAGGTCATGATCTCATAGTCCATGGGTTTGAGCCCTGAGCTGTCAGCACAGAGCCTGGAGCCTGCTTCAGATTCTGTGTCTCCCTCTCTCTCCGGCCCTCCCCTGCTCGCATTCTGTCTCTGAAAACTAAATAAATATTTTCAAAAAATTTTTAAAAAGGTAGTTAGAATCTAAACTCTTTGAAAAGTTACTTGCGAGTCATTAAGATATTTGCTTGAGTCGTCTTTCCCCTCCATCGACATATACAAGGCTCAGCTGCCTAAATTCTCTCTTTGCCCTATGGAGCATCCCCACGGTGTGATTTTTTTTTTACATGCTTACACTGCATATGAATCCCCCCAAAAAGTAAATGCACCAAAATTCTAATGTTGATGATCTCTGGGTAGTTCGACTGAGTAGTTTTTGTTGTTTTTTTTTAATTTATGTTTTTTCCCCAAATTGTCAACACTAAACATAAGAGAGACTTTGGAAGGTGAGCTTATTAACTGGAAACACTGCCACCAGGATCCAGTTGGGACCCGGTAGGTAAGAAAACAGGGAGTATGGTTCCTAGGTAGTCAACTGCCACCATTTAAACAAAGCCATCCCTGCGTTTACAAGTGTCCCTAATCCCCTTCTTTTGTGCCATTGCCCTGAGATTGGGTGCAGAACAGAGTTTTTGTGCTGGGCAACAGAGGTAAGGCTGGGGGCTGGATTGTCACTCCCTTGCAGATACTGGTGGGGCAGGATCCTGCCAGAGACAGCCTCACAAGAGATTGGAACCAACATGTGTATTGTATATTGAGTCTCCGAGAAAGGACATTCCTTCTATAGCTTGAGACCCGCTGGCTTTCTAGACATGGGATCCACTAGGGGTCTTCTGGTTGCAAGTAGAAGGAGGTTGGCTGAAAGCTAGTCAAGGGGCTTTTCTCTTTCTGCGGCATCGCCATGATTAAGAGCCAAATGTCTGATCCCAGATGGCCAGCAGAGGGCGCCGATGTGCATGGAAAGTCAATCGGTTTGCAGGCGGAGAGAATTAAGGTGCAGCCTTCCCAGCGGCTCTCCGCCTCCGTTTCTCATCAGTATAACAGGAGTAATAACTATGAGATCTCCCTCGGGAGGTCTATGAGACCAATAGCTATCATCTGCTGAGTTTTACCATAGACCAGGCATATGCTAAAAGCTTTGACACATTTCGGGGCGCCTGGGTGGCTCAACTGATTAAGCCATTAAGCGTGATCTCATGGTTTGAGGGTTTGAGCCCTACATCCAGCTCTGTGCTGACAGTGCAGAGGCTGCTTGGGATTCTCTCTCACTCTCTACCCCTCCTCCGTGTTCTCTCTCTCTCTTTCTCTCAAAATAAATAAACTTTAAAAAATTTAAAGCTTTGACACGTTTCATCTTATTGAATTCTTCCAATGACCTAATGAGAGAGCTATTATTAACTTCCTTTAACAGATGAGGAAACTGAGGCATATAAGGTTAAGAAACTGAGGCCCCTGGGTGACTCAGTCCGTTAAGTGTCCGACTTCGGCTCAGGTCATGATTTCACGGTTCATGGGTTCAAGCCCCACATCAGGCTCTGTGCTGACAGCTCAGAGCCTGGAGCCTGCTTCAGATTCTGTGTCTCCCTTTCTTTCTGACCCTCCCCTCCTCATGCTGCCTCTCTCTCTCTCTCTCAGAAATAAATGAAACATTAAAAAGAAAAAAGGTTAAGAAACTTGCCCAAGTCCACATACCTAGTAGATGGGCAGGGCAGGGAAGACATTGAATCCACACTAATAGACTCCAAAGCCCACGATCAATAAATGTTGGATAAATCGGAATCTGAGTTTAAATGGTGTATCACAGTCCCACGGCCAGTTAACACAGTGCTCCGGTCTCTATGGGCTCACACCCCATTCCTTCTGCACCTTCTCACAGGCTGTAATTCTAGACCTGGGAGCTCTCTGTACTTTGAATGTCTGGGGAAGTCATATGGTGGTCCCCTTGGTGGCTCATCTGACCCCTGTTTCCTAAGCAGATACCTGGATTGGCGGTGGTGGGCCCCCTGTGGAGAGGAGGGGGGTGAGGTCAGCCGAAGGCATAGACCCTCCTGGCCAAAGTCCCAACACCTAGACAGAGCTGATGACAGTAACATTGGTACAGAAAGCAGCAGCTGGACAGAGTCATAGAGCAGCCAGCCAGGGTGCCTTTATGTTAAATAATACTGCAGCTAAGAATCTAACAGCTCCAGGGCCAGTAACCAGCCTGGAAGATGTCTGATCTCAGGGTGCCTGGGTGGCTCAGTTCGGGTCAGGTCATGGTCCCAGGACCGGAGGATTGAGTCCCATGTTGGGCTCCTCGCTGAGCATGGAGCCTACTTAAGATTCTCTTGCTCTCTCTCTCTGCCCCTCTCCCCATCTCTCTCTTTCTCTCTAAAATATTTTTTTTTTTAAGTCTTCTCTCTCCCCTGGGTTTGGGATCAAAGGTCTACAGTAGCAAAACTTCCTTCAAAACCACAGGGCACAGCTTTTTGATGTTTTGTCTGTCTGTTACATTGTTCATTCATTCATTCATTTGTTCGTTCATTCTGCAGAGACTATGGTTTCTTTTACATATAACCCCACAATAAATTTGAGATCTATGCCTATCACAGATGCACCTTTAAGGACATGCATATATAGAAATGAATGGTCACGGCTATGTATATTTAGAGCCTCTAACATAGTTGATTTCCTGGGTGGATTTTTTTTTTTTTAAATATCTGCAATACTTTCTCCCTCACAACCATTCTAATCCAGGCTATCTCTCTTCCACTCAGCAGGAGGGTCAGAAGGGAAGATGAATTATTAACTCTTCCATTAGTTCAGATAAAAAAAGTGAGTGGGAAGCAAATTTACTGTAGGCCCGGCACACCCTAACTTAATAAGAATGACCTAGGAGGTCACAGGGCCAGTGGCACAATGGATAACGCGTCTGACTACGGATCAGAATGACCTAGGAGGTCATCCACAAAGCCCCCTTTCGGTGCTCAGTCAGACTGTGTCAAGGTTTGAAGCATGAGGCTTGTGGGAACGGCAGATTCATAACTGCCCAGAGGTGCCAATACTGTCTATTAAGGAACGTCTTTAATCCTAAAGAACAACAGATGCTTTTGATTCCTACTGTATTAAATAAGCAGATACAAGATTAATGGTGTTATCTGGAGCATTACTCACTATTATAATAGAGACACTCTGTCATTTTTGAGAGGATGCTGGCTTGCATTTGACATCCCTGGAGAATATGCAGGGACCCGGGGTTCATAGTGATGATGTTTGCTCTCTTAATAAAACCATCATGACTAATGAAATCACACACTGCTGTAAATTTGACAAAGTTCTCTCTCCTCCTCTCACTTTTGTTGTTTATCACATCCTATGAAACAGGTTACTATTCCAATTATTTTCCTTTAAAAATGTTCTTCTTTCCTTTCACCACAGCAGTTCACACTCGTTGCAGAAGCCTCAGAAAACATATGAACATAAACAGGCGGTAAAAATTACCAGAATCAGGGTGCCTGGGTGGCTCGGCCAGTTGGTGAGATCGAGCCCTGAGTTGGGCTCTGTGCTGACAGTGCAGAGCCTGCTTGGGGTTCTCTCTCTTCCTCCCTTTCTCTCTGCACCTTCTCTGCTCTCTCTCTCAAAATAAATAAATAAACATTTAAAAAATTACCAGAATCTCATCACAATTAACCATTATCAACAGCTCAATATTTGCCCTTAAAGTCTTTTTCTTTAGTCTTAAACCTGTAAGACTGAAGAAAGAATATATATATATTCTTATATATATATATATTCTTATATATATATATTCTTATATATATTCTTATATATATTCTTATATATGTATATTCTTATATATATATTCTTATATATATATTCTTATATATATATATTCTCATATATATTCTGATATATATTCTTATATATATTCTTATATATATTCTTATATATATATGTAAGAATACACACACACACACACACACACACTGTAAATATATTGCAAACAGCCTTCCATGTCATTAGTCTTCTACCACATCCCTTCTAATATTTGCCTAGAATTCCATTTGAGGAATGTGCCACCATTTGTATTAATATCCTATCAATTTGGACCATAAGCAATCTGTGATGAATGCCTTCTGACTATGTGTGTGGGCACCCCCACAATCACTGCATGAGGGTAAATTCCTATAGGTGAATTGCTGGTGCCAATAGAATGTGCCAATTTAAGGTCAGAGTGCCCTCCTGACAGATGCACTCCTACTGCACCCTCCTCCACCTGGACCACCCCCCACCACGCTCCGCTAGGAAAACTGAGGTCCAGAGCAATCCAGGGACCAGGCCAAGGTCACACAGCCACCACGTTCCAGCACCTGGGTGTGAACACAAGTTTCCCAGATTCGAAGTCTGGAACTGTCCCCCCACAACAGAATCCCCAGCCCCGTGTCCCTTCAAGTTCTCCAGGCAGCTGGAGGCCAGGCCGACACCCCCTGTCTCTGGCCCTCCCACCTCTCATTTCAGCCGCAGCTTGTGGGGGAAGTTCTGAGCCACATGCTGCCTTCACAGCGCACAGATAACGCTCTGCGTGACCTGGATGCGGACAGGGGCTCGAGGCAATGGGACGGGCCCTGGGAGGCTGTGCTGCCCAGCTGGGACCCGCTGGCAGACACCCGCGGGCATCACGGCAGATGCTGCTGGCGCCCCCGCCTGTCTCCCTCCCCCGCGGGTCCACCTGATGCTGCCATGGGCGGTGCCCAACCCCACAGCTTCCCCGCTTGGGCTCACATCTCTCTGTCCTCCACCTGAGCGTGTCCTTGCACCCCCCGAACCCCTCTAGCACAGCAGGCACAGCCCCGAGCGGCGGAGAGTTTACAGCCTGATGGGTAACCCGCACCCAACAGGGGACAGGAGCAGGTGCGTCAGCGCCCAGTCTCCCTGCGCTCCGGGACAGTCCTGAGGTGCGCACCCACGGTTTCAGAGAGCATCTCAAGCGGGATCGGGCCCCAGCTGCCTTTGGAGTTAATTTGCTCACTCACGCGTTCTTCAGCGGCTTTTCTCCCCTTTTTCGCACTTCCTCCATCTTCTGACTTCATGTTCCTGGGCTCACTTTACACCGACATCCCTGCACCCAAGTCCTTGCTCGGGGGCTTCTTCCGGCTTGCCACTCCTCCTTTGATATTCCTGTGCGAGTTAGAATTTGCTAAAACCACGATAACAAATTGACCCCGAGATGCTTTCCTCAAATACAGTACAAGCGTGTCCAGGGCAGGCGTTCCCAGGTGCGTGTTCGGGTTGAGCAGGAAGGGAGACCTGCCCGGACCCAGAAGCTCTGCCATCACACCCTGTGGCCTCCAGGGGGCGCTGGTTGTCACACCCCCGCACCTGAGAGCGGGGGCGGGGGGGGGGGTGGTGGGAGGAGGCCAGGAGTTGTGGCCGGCCCAGGGGGGTGTACCTGACTTCCATTCACATTCCCTTTGACCGCTCTCCAAATGCTGCCGAGAGAGCCTAGTCCTGTGCCCTCCTTCCGCGCCCCCCCCCCAACTGGAATCACTGCTGGGCAGCCATTGACTGGCTACCCTTTGCGGGGGGGGAGGGGGGGGGACAGAGGAGGAGGAGGCATTCCAGGGAACAGCCAGCAGTCTCTGCCACACCTCTCAAATCCACTTCCGAAACCAAAGGAAATAAAAAACCAAACTGCTGTTTGCATAAGTTTCTACTTGAAACACAGTGACGTTATTTTATGATTTTTTTTCCCCCAATAATTTTAGGCCGCCGGGGGATCGGGCACCTGCTCTGTAAAGATGAGCTGCTGAGGGCCTCCCTGTCACTGTCCCACTCCCGGTCGGTGCTCATCACCACGGGCTTCCCCACGCACTTCAACCACGAGCCCCAGGAAGAGACGGATGGCCCCCCGGGAGCCATTGCTCTGGCCGCCTGCCTGCAAGCCTTGGGGAAGGAGGTCTCCATGATCGTTGACCTGAGAGACTTGAGTTTGTTCAAGAAGCTTGTTGAAGAGGCTGTTGAGCAAGGTGAGCAGTGAGATGAGCCCAGTCCATTTCCCCACGGGGATCCCCGCGGGCAGAGGGTGGGGGTCAGCGAGCCTGGCTCCTCCCCAGCACCCCGCACAGGGCCGTGCACAGGTCGTGGGGAGGGGGGGGGGAGTTGGCCTTAGGGGCTCAGAACAACTCTTTGCTATTTTGGTATAAGCAGCATCATATCCGCACTTTATGGATGAAGAGGCTGGGCCTCAGAGAAGTCCAGGTGATTTCCCCACGTGGGAACTGTGAGCTGGGAGTTTGAACCCAGGTCCTTCAGGCTCCGGAGCCCAAGGTCCCACCGTGCATCTGCTCCCCTCCCTACAAGAGCCCTGGTGAGGACTCAGCAACCCCCCAGCCAGCCCTGGACTCCCACCCCCCAGCTGGAGGTGGGATAGTCCGGAACAGAGTGGCTGAAGGGCTCTCACCCGGGGCCCATGGGTGGGGATGCCCCACGCTACACGGGCTCCCGGAGCACTCAGGTGGCGTGAGAGCCGCAGAGCCACAATCTTTTCCTTTTAGCCTCTAAAAAGGACTTCGGTCCCAGTAAGCCATACCCTCTAGCACCGTGGAAGTTTCCCAAAGGCTGTATCTGAACATATAGAATCCATTTGGCACAGCAAATGTGTGCTGAACACCTACTATGCGCCAGGCACTGTGGAGATCCATCAGTGAGTAAGACTCACCCTGTCCTGCCCTCCTGGAGAGAGCATCCCAGGGGAGTGTGGCTGACAAGAAGCCATCCGGGGGCAGGAAAGTGTGTGGTGTAGAAGAAGGCGTGAGGCTGGGAGGAAAGTGGACCCGGATGGGGGATGGTGAAGGGCAGCGCAGAGGTGGGCTATTTGAAACAAGATGGTCAGGGAAGGCTTCACGGAGAAGGTGACATTTGAGGCAAGACTGATGAGGTTGATGCATGGGGGAGGCCAGGGCTGTCTGCAGGAAGAGAGCCCAGGCTGTGACCGTGGCCAGAGCAGAGGCCATTGGGTAGAGTGGGCGCCTTGCAGGTTTGAGAAAGGGCTACTGGCTTGCTGACTGGCCTGGCATGAATAAGAAGAGAGGCCAGAGGCAGGACAGAAGGGTCCCGAACTCAGGCCCGGAAGGGTCTCATGAACATCTGAGCTTTTATTCCAGGTGGGTTGGGGGAGCCCTAGGGGGTCACGGAGTGGAGGCGGGCCGTGTTCTGACTTCACTTTGAAAGGATCACCCAGGCGGCTGTAGGGACAAGGTGGAAACTGGCCAAGCTACTGCAAGCAGGAGACGGGGGGTGGCTTGGAGTGCGGGGTACCCCGGGGCACATCCCTGTGGTCCCAGTGATTTTAGCCACAGCTGGGGCAGAAGTTCTGATTCACACCAACCTGACCGGGCCCCACTGCAAGCCAGTGCTTTGGGGGATTTCTCCAAAGCTGTGCAAAACCGCTCGGTCCAGAAGTCAGGAGACTAATGTCTCCAGGAGCCCCTCAACCAGTGCCGCAGGGGAGACAATGCAGGAGAGCCCATTGCCTAGAGCAATGCTTTTCCTCCCTCCAGCCCTCCCTTTCAGCTCCTCCCCCCTGCCTGCTGGGACCGTCTCCCAGACAAACCCTCTGCACCGAGTCTTCATGTCAGACTGGTTTCAGGGGACCCCAAGAGATGAGCGGTACAGGTGGAGGCTTCGAGAAATAGACAGATCTGTCCATATTTTGAGGGTAGAGTCATGATTCCGGATGGAGGGGATGCCGGGTGAGACGGGAGGCCAGGATTGCTTCACAGTTTGGGCAGGGTGACCAAAAGGTCGCAGCTGCCGTGACCCGAGCGGGGGAAGACGCCGCTGGTGGGAGGCAAACACCGTGTGGCCGCTGTGGAAACTAGTATGGCAGTTCCTCAGAAAATTTAAAATAACAAATACTGTAGGATTCAGCAATCCCACTTCTGGGTATAAATATACTGCAAAGGAACTGACATCAGGGACCCAGACAGATACTGACACACCCATGATCATAGCAGCAGTATTCACAGTAAGCAAACAGTGGAAGCAACCCAAGTGTCTGTCAACCGAGGAAGGAATAAACAAAAGGCAGTACATACAGACAATGGAATGTCATTCAGCCTTAAAAAGGAAGGAAATTCTGACACATGGGTGAGCCTTGAGGACATGCTAAGTGAAATAAGCCAGTCACAAAGGAATGAATAGTGTATAACTCCATTTATACGAGGGGCCTAGAGCAATTAAAACCATAGGAACAGAAAGTAGAATGGTGGTTTTCAGGGGCGGGGGCAGGTGGAGGGCGGAGGGGGCGTTTGCTGTTTAATGGGTCTGGAGTTTTCAGTTCGGGAAGATGAAAACATTCTGGAGATGGATGGTGGGGTGCTGGTCAAACAACACTGTGAGTGTACTCACTGCCGGAGAACCGTACACTTAGAAATGGCTAAGAGAGGGGGTGCCTGGGTGGCTCAGTCGATTAAGTGTCCGACTTCGGCTCAGGTCATGATCTCACGGTTCGTGGGTTCAAGCCCTGCATCAGGTTCTGTGCAGAACATTTGCTCAGAGCCTGGAGCCTGCTTCAGATTCTGTGTCTCCTTCTCTCTCTGCCCCTCCTCCCCTCACACTCTGTCTCACTCTGTCTCTCAAAAATAAATAAATGTAAAAAAAATTTTTTTAAGAAATGGCTAAGAGAATAAAATTTACATTCTATATTTTACCACAATTCAATGTTTTAAAAGTTTTTAAAAGAGTGCAGGTTGGAGCCTCGGGGTGAGAAATCTATCAGCCACACAAGTGGAGAAGTCAAGTAGACAGATCTACGAGTCAAGGTCAGGAGAGCAGTCTAGGCTGGAAAGATAAATCCGAGCAGTAGGCATATTGATGGTCTTTTAAGTCCAGACACAGGGTGAGATCACTGAGGGAATGTGAGACAGAGAAAAGGGCCCAGGATTGCTTCCGGGGACCCTCCACAGGGAGAGGGGCAGCCAGCAAGGGAGATGGAGAAGGGAGGGGCTGCACTGAGGACAGAGGAAAACTGACCGACTGTGGTGTCAACACGGAGAAGGTATGGGCCACGGTGGCGGCCAGTGCCAACGGGCTGGCAGTCTTCTCCATCTGACAGCTCAGTCCGGTATTTTTAGCCATGTGCTTTCCCAGAAGCAGGTCTGCCCTCCCCACTCACCTGCTCGCCGGCTCCGAGGCTTCAGGGGCACATGAGCTCAGAACTGGGGCTCACCTGGCCAGGCGGTTTAGAGATGGAATCTGCCGTGTCAGATTCTGCAGAAATTTCATTACATGTGGACGAAGAAAGCAAAAGAGATTTGGCCCTTTTAGTGAAAACTATTTCGGTTCTTTTTATAACCAAAGGCTGCACATGTTTAAAGAAAGAGCTTAGTCATTTCCTCCCTGTCTTGAGCATAAATGGACCAAACTGATACATTGGTTCTTCGTAGCTCAGGTGCGGGTTCTCATCTTGCCCAGACATTCCTTTCCAGAGTCTCTTTCTCTCTGTGCCCCCGCCTTGGGGGCATGTTATGTGCCCTGCCCTGTTTGGCCCCCTGTGCTCCTTCTTACAGGTATCCTGTATCCTTGATCCAATGTCAAGAAAGTAAGAAAGCACCAGCCTTAACTTAGCACCTACTAAGCGCCGTCTTCCCCGGGCTCAGTGCTCTGTCCATATCCTATCACTTACACCCCCAAGCAGTCCTGGGGGCAGGGGCCTGGTTAACCCCATCTTGCAGAGGAGGAGACCACAGCCAAGGGAATTTCCGTGACGTGTCACAGAGCTAGGAACATAGCTTCCCACCCAGGGGTATTTTGGTCCCGGTGCTGGGTCACCAGGGTGCTCCTCACAGCACAGAAAGGGGCTGGGTCTTTCAGCTTGTTGTGACCCGTCCACCCCCGGTCCCTGGCTCGTCCCGTGTAGAATGTGCTCGGTGGATATCTCTCGGTGGACTGACTGCCCTCTTCTGGTCTTTCCCTGTTAGACATGGGGTGGGGCTGGGGAGGGATGTTGGAGAGAGGCCCTTTAGGGTCTCCGACAATGATTCTGGCCCCTCCACCCTCGGGGGCAGTTCCCAAAGGGCTTGCGGGCAACAATGCAGTGAAGCTGGGCCACCCCGAATCCACATTTATAATACAAGCACATGGTCTTAACCTAGACCTTACCTGGGTTGGGTTTGTGGGGGACGAGTGTGAGGGGCTGATGATGGAGATTACGACACCCCCTCTGTCCACAGAGCGGTTCCGGGGGGTCCGATCCCGGTCGCAGGCCCTCTGGTAGGTATCTCAGGCTCTGCGGGGAGACCTCATCCAGGGCCGGTGAAGGCGCAGGGACTGTACCCCAAACTGCTGTGAGGTCTATTAGTTAAAGAAAATCAAGTCCATTTTATTTATTTATTTTTAAGAAAGATTGAACTAGTTTCAATCTATTCCAGGAAGGAGACCTTTTTTTTTAATGTTTATTTATTTTTGAGTGACAGAGACAGAGCACGAGTGGGGGAGGGGCAGAGAGAGAGGGAGACGCAGAATCTGAAGCAGCTCCAGGCTCCCAGCTGTCAGCACAGAGCCCCATACGGGGCTAGAACTCACGAAACCATGAGATCATGACCTGAGCCAAAACCAAGAGTCAGATGCTTAACTGACGGAGCCACTAGATGCCCCAAGTCAATTTTATTTTAATTGGGAATTTGTGTGTGCTTTCCACATATTCTGCAATAATATGTATTATTACTGTAATTAGAAAAGGTGCCGTTTTTGAGAGTCAAATTCACTTTTGGAAATCACTCTACTATCAGTAGCTAACTCCAGGCTCGGACTCTGGGACCTCTCCTCTGTTGTTCTGGAACTTCCCTAAAGGAGTGCAGGGAGGGAAGGGTGGGGAGCAGATGAGAACTTAGGATGGAAATTAAGATCCTCCGTCACTGACCTTCCGTGCTCAGCTTTGCCCAAGTTATATAGCATCTCTGAGCCTCAGTTTTCCTCTTCTGTAAAATGGGATTCGTAATGGTTCTGATCACATAAAATTGTTGTGCTGGTTAAGTGAGAGCGCACATGTCACATGTTTAGCGGAGGGCTGCCTTCCTGTCACCTGGGCACCTAAATATGTCCTCAGCGCTCACGAGGACAGTGAGCCAGAATAGGCCTCTGATCACACGGTGTTGTGGACATCCACATGCGGCCTATTCGGTGCCACTAGCCCAATTCCACCCCTGCTCAGGGTCACACGCTCCACCAACCCTACTGTTTACTCAGGACTAAAAGTAAGCAAGTACCCTTGCGTCCCAGATCTTGGCTTTCCTAACAGAGCATTCTACAGGTAGGTGCTGCCCCTCATGATAATGATCCTCTCCAAAGAAGCTTTTGAAAAGCCAACGTGAATTTCCAAAATGCAGCCCTAGGGCTGATGTGTCCACCCTTTGCCTTTACTTTCAAGGTGTCCTGAAGTCACAGATCCCCGTATTAACGTTCCAAGGTGAATCAGCAGGAGCTGCTCAGGCATTTCTCTGCAAAGATGGGGACCCCAAGTCACCTAGGTATGTATGTCACCTCCCAGTGCGAGTGGGCGGTGGGGGAAAGCCCCCCCACACTCGTTGACAGCTCCAGAGAGGGAACAGAGCCCAGGGGTCTCAGGGGCCAGGCGGGCGGGTCACAAGCTGGGGCTTCGCAGAGGGTCTCTGGGAGTGGCAACTCCCTGAGAGATGGCATGTCTTCCCAGGAGAGGGAGACATTAGGAAAATTATAAAAAAACAAGAACTTAGCAGCTTCTCAAACTGGATTATGACCCATTAGAGAGCAGTGAGTCATTTCAGTGGGGGTAACCAGTACCTTCGGAAGGTGAAATAGAAATAGAAATACAATTGAATACTTTAAGTCGTAATGTTAAGTATGCTCATGAAACTTTATGCAGCTGCGTGTATTCTTTTTAAGGTTTATTTATTTTTGAGAGACCGAGACAGAGCGTGAGTGGGGGAAGAGGCAGAGAGGCAGGGAGACACAGAATCTGAAGCAGGCTCCAGGCTCTGAGTTGTCGGCACAGAGCACGACGTGGGGCTCGAACCCACGAACCATGAGATCATGACCTGAGCCAAGGTCAGACACTTAACGGACTGAACCACTTATGTGTATGTTTTTACTGTGTGTTATGATCAAACATTTTGAAAAATACATCTATATTGTAGGTAGGGGTGTATTTCAGATCTTACAATTTTTAATACAGTGTTCTGCAAACTTTTTCGACAGAAGTAATACATAACACATTTTGCATTGCAAAACAGTACACATGTGTACATGCACATGCGCATGCTCACACACACACAACTAAAACAAGCTTCAAAAAACAATATATTCTGACATTTTCTATTCCAGCCTGTTCTATTCTATTCTTCAGTGTTCTATTTTACTTTTCTGGAAATGCTGACCCAGCCTAATAAATTTACCTCACAACCCACTAAGAACTATCTTGTTAGAACTTAAAACACTGATGTAATAGGCCTGGAGGGCATAGCTTCACTGCACTTGACAGCAGAATTCGGTGATCTGATATGCTATTTAAAGCTGCAGGAAGATGTATGGTTCGTGTTAGAGATGTTCATATTCTCCAAACAGTTGGCATATAAACAAAGCTCCGGATCTTCAGAAAGAAGCTAGAAAATTCTCCTGTGTGGAATCTGGATGGCAGTTAACACAGGTGCTGCTCTGTTTGCTGAGTGGAGAGAGGTGGGGCCGATCTGATGGTCAGGAGAGAGGGTTCTGCTCTCTTTGGAGAAAATGCATTAACTCTTTCCAGGGAACAGCCTTCCCAGGAGTGAATTACTTCCCACTGTAGCTAAATGGACCCTGAGGGCCTAAAAAAAAAAAAAAAAAAATCAATCCCACCTTCTTGAGGTGTATTAACTGAATTTTCCTGTGGGAAGATCCAGAAATGGTGTTCTCCCTGCAGAATAGAGAATGTATTAATCTCATTTGGAGGTCTGGTTCTAAACAGCTTTTTTTTTAACACCTTTGATATAGATCTAGAGGAAATTCAGGGTCAAAGCTCCTTCCTCCTGCGGCTCCTGGGTGGCTCAGTCAGTTAAGCATCAGACTCTTGGTTTCAGCTCAGGGCATGATGTCACCGTTCGTGGGTTTGAGCCTTGCACCAGGGTCCACACTGACAGCGCAGAGCCCTCTTGGGATTCTCTCTCTCCCCCTCTCTCTCTCTCTCTCTCTCTCTCTGCCCTTTTCCTCTCGTTCTCTCTGTCCCTCTCTCAAAATAAATAAATAAACTTAGAAAAAAGAAAGAGCTTCTTCCTCTTGTTGATTCTGCTTCTCAGTGGCTGCCTTTTTCTGCCGTGGACACGCAGCCTCAGGATTACATTCCAAAACCTACCCAGTGGCCTGTTCATCCAGGCACATAGGATGTCACCACATTCTGCACACCCAGAGGGCACAGACCAGCCATAAAGATTCTGGTTTTGAAAAGATGTACAGGGGCGCCTGGGTGGCTCAGTAGGTTAAGCATCGACTTCAGCTCAGGTCATGATCTTGTCTGTGAGTTCAAGCCCCGCATTGGGCTTTGTACTGATAGCTCAGAGCCTGGAGCCTGCTTCACATTCTGTCTCCCTCCCTCCCCTGCTCTTTCTCTGTCTCTCTCTCTCAAAAGTAAATAAACATTTAAAAAATTTTAATAAAATAAAAATAAATAAAAACATACAGTAAAAGCATTCAGAGCTTAGATTTTTTTTTACTGTAGTAAAATATACATAACATAAATTTTACCACTTTAGCCATCTTAAGTGTGCCGTTCATGTGCATTAAGGTATATTCGCGTTGTAGTGCATCCACATCCATGACTTTTTCATCTCCCAAACAGCAATGTCGTCCCCGTTAAACAGTGACTTTCCATCCCCCTCCCACCTCCCACCCGACCTGACCCGTCTACTTCCTGTCCCTGTGAATCAACTGCTCTAGTACCGCATATAAGTGAAATCATACAGTACTCGTTCTGCGACTGGCTGATTTCAGTTGGCAGATTATCCATGGGATTCATCCATGTTGTAGCACGTGGCAGAATGTCTGTCCGTTTTGAGGATGTACCACACTTGATTCTTTGTTCGTCTATCTGTGGGCACAGGGCAGCTTCTACTGTTTGCGAGTGTGAACCCCGCTGCCGTGAACAAGGGTGTGCAAGTATCTCTTGGAGACCCTGCTGTCAGTTCTTTTGTGGAATTGCTGGTTCACTCAGTGATTCTATTTTACATGTTTAGGGGGACCACCACACAGTTTTCCATAGCAAAGATTTTTTAAAATTTATAAATAATGTTTATTTATTTTTGAGAGAGTGAGAGAGGCAGAGCATGAGCGGCGGAGAGATGGAGAGAGAGGGAGACACAGAATCCAAAGTACGCTCCAGGCTCTGAGCGGTCAGCACTGAGCCCGACGTGGGGCTCGAACCCACGAACCATGAGATCATGACCTGAGCCGAGTCAGACACTTAACCAACTGAGCCGCCCAGGCGCCCCTCCATAGCAAAGATTTTAAAGAACTCCATCGTGGGAGGATTTAGAGAGTTATAGAAGTGCGATTTTCGTGTTTTTAAATTGGATTATCAAGACAGTATTCTTCCTGAGATGGCCGGGGGTAAGCTACATGGGGGATGGGCATAAGGAGGACACTTGTGATGAGCAGTGGGTGATGAATCACTGAATTCTACTCCTGACACCAACAATGCACTTTATATTAGCTAACTAGAATTTGAATAAAAATTTAAAAATAAAACAGTGGGGAAAAAAAGATCATATTCCTCCTAATAATGATAGCAATCACAACTACCACCACTTACTGCCCACTGAGTAGGTGCAGGGCCCTCTGCTTAGCACTTCTTGTGCCTTTTCTCCACTATATTGTTGAAGCCTCTTTAAAACCCGGAGAAGTAGGTAATGCAGGCACAGCATCCAAAAATGAGGCCTAGGGAGGGTGCTTTCAACACCGTATAAGACAGGACCCCTTGTCAGGTCATCACATACAGCAGGTGTGGGTCAGAGAGGTTAAGTACTTGGCCCAGGCCATGAGTGAGAGGGCCTGGACTCAGAGCCACACGATCTGATTCCACAGCCCACAAGCTTACCGCTGCTGCCTGTGTCTCTTATCTAATCTCTGTCTTGCAATTAGATTCACTTGTCTTCCCTTTCAACTCTTTTTTAAGTCTGTTTGTGTTTGTAAACTGAACAAGACCTTGGAAGAAGCCAGTAGCCACTAACGCTCACACCTCTGGGTGCTGGTACCCACTGGCGAGTGGAGATGGTCATTATCTCATGGTTTGTGTTTTTCCAGCCCCACATCAGGCTCTGTTGACAGTGCAGAGCCTGCTTGGGATTTTCTCTCTCTGCCCATTTCTCCCCTCCAAATAAATAAACTTTAAAAAAGATCTGATCAACTAGCCCCCAGCACAAGCCATGGCACACATAAATGTTCAGCCAAATTCTGTAGGAATTTGTAGGAATCAAAGAAAGAGTACAAGGGTCCTTCACATAAACACATGACCCAACAAGGCAGCCACACCCTCCATAAAGCCCCTGTGCCCTTGCTTCCTGGCAGATTTGACCATCTGTTGGCAATAGAGCGCACAGGAAGGGCCGCCGATGGTAATTACTATAATGCGAGGAAGATGAACATCAAGCACTTGGTTGACCCCATTGATGATCTTTTCCTGGCAGCACAGAAGATTCCTGGAATCTCATCTTCTGGTAAGCTGGGAGCACGGAGAATTCAACAAGAGTGTGTCCACACTGAATGCCTTTTAGTGACTATTGAACACGTGACATGAAGGCATTTTACGGGGCCCATAGTTTTCTACTCCAGAAATGCTCTTTGTCTATCATGGTTGGTTTAGACAACAAAGATGTCATCCCTTAGAAACCCAGCATTCCCACGAACATGAAAAGGAAACAACACTTTCGCATATTCTTCCCCCAACTCTACAATATTAAAACTAATAGTAAAATAAGGGCACCTGGGTGGCTCAGTCAGTTAATCGTCCGACTCTTGGTTTCGGCTCAGGCCATGATTTCACAGTTTTGTGGGTTAGAGGCCGTGTCAGGCTCTGTGCTGACAGTGTGGAGCCTGCTTCGGGTTCTCTGTCTCCTTCTCTCTCCGCCGCCTCCCCCACTCCCGCTGTCTCTGTCTCTCTCAAAATAAATAAATAAACTTAAAAAAAAACCCTAATAGTAAAATAATAATAATACAACCAAGGCATGGCATATTCTTTTGGTCATGTAGGACAAATAGACCGTGTATATACTGTCCCTCATCTTATGAGAGCTTTAATTTTTAAACATACCTTAGATATATGATTAGTGCCAATATTCTGATTGCTAATAATACAATAATGTGATCGTTTGTGTTTGTACAGAATGTCATCGTTTTCAAAGAGGGTTCACATCCATGTGTTGTGGAAGCCTCTTTGACACCCTGGGAAGTAGGTAAGGTAGAGAGAGTATCCAGAAATGAGACCTAGGGAGGTACCTAGAAGTCATTGAGCTCATTAGTGTTGCTGGTAGATTAGGAAGCCAGACTCCCAGGCCCCCTCCAAACATGCTTTTCATGGAATCACGTTGTCTTAAGCGAATTGCTGAAAGGTTTGATATAACTCCCAGAACAGTGTTCTTCCCCTGGGGGTAGATATAGATCCTGGGGTAATTAAGGCAAGTTTCTCTGTTCTCTGTTTATTTGTTCTCTTCTCTTCATTCAAACTCTTCAGAGTGTTTCCCTGACTCATTAGTCACCTTTGGCTTTTGAGGTTTGGATGAGACGATGAAAGTCTTCCTGGCTGAGTAGAAACTTTCTGCAAATCGCCTGGTCTTTCCCAGAAGAGGCCTTGGGTGTGGTGCTCACAACACAATCGGCTTGAGCTTCCGGTCTGTCGGGGCTGGCCTGGTGGAAGACCTGAGGGCTGGAGGAAGGCGTGCCCGGGGCACGGAGGGAAGGGGTCTCCTAGTTCAAAGGGGGCAATCAGGGTCTGAAGGAGCTGCTCTTCCCCTGATGAATGGACCCCTAATCTTTGCTTGTCCCCCCAAGGAGGCTCCCAAGATCCCAGAGGACGCAGGTAGGGCTCGCTGTTTGTACCTTCCGATTGCCCCCCTTTGTGGGTGCCTGGACCCCTCTCTTACCCGAAGGAGCCCGAGCTTTTCCTATGATTTCCCACAGCACCGCCTTCTCAGCAGGGCCACCCCTGGTCTTTTCTCCCCTCTGCTCCATCAACAGCCTGTTCCTCAGTTTCCACAGGGAGCTACCTTGTCGTGGACGCACTACTGACCCCCCAGGACCTGAGCGCCACCCCCTTGGAGATTCTGGGAGTGCCATCAAGCGAGGAAAACAAGGTCACGGGCAGGGCTCACCTGAGGAAAAAATGAGACAAAATTCATAAAATGCAAAAGAGCAGAGACAGAAATAGACAACATACCAACGCTGGGGGTTGTCATTAGTTCCCTTCATTCAGTCGGCAGTCGTGGACCCAGAACACTTTTTGGAGAGAAATCCCCAGGGTGTGGACCTAAGGTGTCTGGCTGTTAACAACAGTCTGATTTTTTGGACCACATCCAAGTCTCCGGTGCTTGAAGCACGGTAGCTCTGGCGCCTGTCTGCCATCGCACAGCAAATGCTAGCCTCTGGTGGAATGCTTCCACACGTTCCAGGCCTTTCTAGAAACAGACACAAAGAGAGCCATGCAACCTGACTGCCTGGCCCTGTGCCCTTGAGGCCCCTGGACAAGTGCTTCACATGAGTGGTTTTCTTAAGGCAGCTACAGCCCTCGCCTGGAGGCAGATTCAGCTGATCTCTGGCCTACAGAATCCTCCAGAAATACCTGGACACAGGACCAAATGGTGTTCCTCTAGAGCCACCTCAGATGGGTAGGCTGCAGCATTGGTCAGATTTTTTTTTTTTTTTAATTTATTTTGGAGAGAAAGAGAGAGAGAGACAGAGCAGAGGAGGGACGGAGAGAGAGGGAGACACAGAATCTGAAGCAGGCTCCAGGCTCCAAGCCGTGAGCACAGAGCCCAACGCGGGGCTCAAACTCACCAACTGCGAGATCATGACCTGAGCTAAAGTCAGCGCTTAACCAACCGAGCCCCACAGGTGCCCCATATTTCATATTCTTTAAGTTACGGTACAGAATTGACCTTAGCCATCTGTACCAGTTCCTGTCACACGGATGGGTTCAGGGCCTTTCTTGCAGCCCCTTTGTGAGCAGGAGTCACTCAAAAGTTGAGGAACCACAGCTGCTTGGTAGCACCAGCACGGAGGTTACTCCACCTGTGACTCGAGAGCGTGACTCAGCAGGGGACTGGCCACATTCTGGTGGGTTCCAAACTTCAACTCACTTTAAAAATAATTTTTTTTTACGTTTTATTTATTTTTGAGAGAGAGAGAGAGAAAGACAGAGCGCAAGCGAGGGAGGGGCAGAGAGAGAGGGAGACACAGAATCCCAAGCAGGGGTTCCAGGCTCTGAGCTGTCAGCACAGGGGCCAATGCGGGGCTGGAACCCATGAACTGTGGGATCATGACCTGAGCCGAAGTCGTGCACTTAACCAATAGAGCCACCCAGGTGTCCCTTAACTCACTTTTAGCTGAAGAAGTTTCTAGAAGATCTGAAGGAGAAGTCCATCTCCTGGTTGTCTGAAAATATACGTAGAACCAACCCTTTTCCCCAGCCTGAGGCAACAAACAAGACACTTGTGGAGGGGGCTGCCGCCCCACAACCAGCCCCCATTTGGCCCAGCCCTGTACACTGACTGCCTTGGTTCCCCTTCCCTTCAGGGGTCGGTGACGGGGGCAACGAGCTTGGGATGGGCAAAGTCAAGGAGGCTGTGAAGAGACACATACGAAATGGGGATGTGATCGCCTGTGACGTGGAGACCGACTTTGCTGTCATCGCTGGTGAGTGTTCACACGGCGGGCCAGTCAGACCCGGGTCTGCGCTGGGGCCTCGCCCAAGAATGTGTGTTTCTAACAAGTTCCCAGGAGCCCTTGGTGCCACTGATCTTGGAGCCACTCTTTTATTTTTTTTAATGTTTATTTATTTTTGAGAGAGATGGAGTGTGAGTGGGGGAGGGACAGAGAGAGAGAGGGAGACACAGAATCCAAAGCAGCTCCAGGCTCCAGGCTCCCAGCTGTCCATGTTGCAGAATTTTTTTTACCTCAATGCCCGGGGTTTGTCGTCTCACTGCTTCGAAGAATGGAGACGTGGACACCAAATGAGCAGCAGGCAAAAGTTTATTAGAGTATAAGGTTAGAAAGGAAGAGTAGCAGGAAAGCTCTCTTCACAGAGAGGGGATATTCAAAAGTGAATCCCCGAACTATAGGCCAGGGTCTTTATTTTGTAGGGTTTTGGTCAGCCCTTTCCCTTCCCTCTTGTTTCTCCTCAGGTCCTATCCTTATTGGCTGGAGAGTTCTAGGTGCTGGGTTGTCCATTCCTGATTGGCTCATTTCCATTGTATGAGGGGTGGTCTATGGCCATTCCATTCCTTGTGGGTCATAGGTTTTATGGTCTACTACTTCTTTTCAGTCAGGTCTTTTGTCAAATTCCTGAGGGAAATCTGAGGGGGAATAGGTGGAGTCTGTTACATTATTGAGAGGAACCTTATGCCTAGGTGGGAGTGTTGATGTGATCAGACACTCCCAGAATTGTTCCAAAATATGTCTTTCCTCATCCAGGGACCTCAGATCCTAATCCTTTCCCTCTCTGCCTATTTAATCCTATTTTTTCCCTATCATATCAGCACAGAGCTCGGATGTGGGGGTCCAAACCCACAAACCATGAGATCATGACTTGAGCCGAAGGTGGACACTCAACTGACTGAGCCCCCCAAGAACCCATTGGGGCCACTGTCTGAGATGAGTTCCGCTGCTCAGAGGCCAGGTGATGGACCCCAGAAGCTTTCCAGTTCTATGATAGAAACTTTTTCTGTTCTAGGTGTTTCTAACTGGGGAGGCTATGCTTTGGCCTGTGCGCTGTACATCCTAAACTCAAGTGAGGTCCACAGGCGTTACCTAAGGAAGGCAACTGGGCCCTCCGGAGCACCTGGGGAGCAGAACTGGGCTGAGGCCCTTCCGTCCGTTGCTAAGGTAACACACCCCGGCTGGCACCCCCTGCAGGAGAGGCGGGCGTGCTCCAGACTGTCAGCCCAGGACCCGTGCCACTGCTGCCTGTCAACAGCCAGAGGCAGAGCCCGCCTATGCGGGGGAGCAAAATTTGCCACCACAAAATGTGGCTCTTTGGCATGCGGATTATTTTAGGCTGGTTATCTTTTAAAAACAGAAGGACTCAAGGACTCAGTTCCCATGGCCCTACCCACTGATCCTGATCACACACTCAAACCCACCTCTTCATCCCCTGCTCCTCCAAGAACCTAAAGCACCTTATGGGAGAACTTTCTAGAATAATTTGGATCATGGGAAATGGGAGCCAAAGCCCTGACTTGATGTCTAAATCCCAGGCCTGAGGTGACTTCCCCATGAGCTGCAGCTTCACCTGAGGGCAGGCGGGAGCTGAGGGGGCTGCAAAGTCTGAGAAACAGTGGAGGGAGCTGGGGAATTTGGCCTGGAGGAGGCGGTGCTGAGGCCTCACACCCCAATGGCTTCCTGGACAGACAGTGTCCTCGGCTCCCTGAGAGACGAAAGTAGGCCAAAAGGCAGAGGTCACAGAGCAGATTCCGGTTCACTGTAAGGAAGACCTTGCCCTCTGCCCTTGCCCAGCCCTGGGAGGAGGAAGCCTCTGACGTGAGCCCATGGAGGAGGGGTTCCCGTGCGAGGTCAGGCTGGGCCGCTGACCCCAGAGCCACTCCTAACCGGTCCCGAAACAGTCTCATGCAACCGAAGGCCTCACTTCCCTAGTCTGGCCTCCCAAAGGGCTGGATTGTCAAGTGTAAGACCAGCAACCAGCAGAGGGAAAAGTAGTGGTAAATTCTTGTAGAATGAATGAATGAATGAATGAACGAACGAACGAACGAATGAACAAATGAAGAAGCGTAGGGGTGGATGCAGTGCTTTGCTAGGGCAGCAGTTTCCCAAACGTAGAGGCATCTGAATCACCTCAGGGGCATCTTCAACCACAGGGTGCAAAGCCCACCCGAGGGTACCTGACTGTAGACCTGACTTGAGCTGGGGAAGTGGCCTCTCTGACATGTTCTGGGTGCCCACATTCTGAGACCCTGGGTTGGTCTGGGGAGAAGGGAAGGCAAGCCTAGGGAGGGAAGGTTCCTGAACGCTGAGCCTGGGCAGAACAGCTCAGATGGGGCGAGTGGTTGTGATGAGTCCCCAGGCAGCCAGGCCCTGAGGCCCAGAGCCCCTCACTTCCGAGAAGCATGTGTAGCCAGAGCCCTGTCTCTCCCTCTGTTTCTTTCTCCTTCCCGCCCCCTGCTCTCCAGCACCTCCCTGGCTTGATGTTGACCCCACTTTACAGAGGAGGGAGCTGGGACTCCATCAAGGTGGTGGCTTGCCCAACTCACCCAGCTAACAGATGGAACTGGGGCCCGACCCTGGGTCTTTCTGCCTCCATTTGCTGGGCTCTTTCCATGGATCAGAAGTTTCCCGGGTCCTGGTGATGCCAGGGTGCCCTGTGGGGCTGGAAGCACGAGAGCAGCTTGAAGGGACATTTTCAGGGGGAACGGTCTGCCCCGTAGGTGCCCATAGGGCCTTATGTGTTTTCTTTGCGCTTCCTGGATCTGAACTGGAAAAAAACACTCAGGGGGCTGCCTCACACATGATTCCTGATTCACACAGACACAAAAGAATGAACCCGGCCAAACAAATTCACACAGACCAAATGCTTACCCTCTGGGGATGGAAAATTCTCCTTTTGAGTTTCCACCCAGTCCTTCATAAATACATTAATAATGTATCACCCTTGTAAGGAAAATAAAAGGGAACATTTGCAAAGCAAAAGTACAAACACATGTGCCTTGAGCCCCTCCTCTGGGCCAGGCCAGATCTGCTCTGGGGGAGAATGGGGTCAGACCCAGGCCCTGGGTAGGAAACTCGGGATCTCCCTGGGGTCAGGTTTGGGAACACATAGAAGGATGGAAGGGTGCAGGGCAAGCTGCTGTAGGGACAGAGAGCAGGCACTCAGCTCCCTCAGAGGGCTCAAGAAAAGCTTCCTGGAGGAGGTGGCCCTGAGCTGGGTCTGAAGGATGGGCGAGATATAAGCGGCTGGGTAAGAAAGGACAGGAAGGCTCTTCCAGGCAGCAGGATCCATGCAAGCAAAGGCGCAGGCACACGAAGGAGTGCAGCGTGCAGGGGAGGTAACTGGGATTGTCATGCTAGAGTTCTGTAGGTGGCTCCATGGACGTCCCTGACTCATCGAGAGGTGCTGGGCAGAGCTGTGGCCTGTGTGAGTGGTGCCGCTTGATTGGTTAGCAGGATGGGAAATGTCCCCATCTCTGCTCTGTGAGTTACTTGTAAGCAGGGCCTCCGATATTCAGGGACAGTTCTTAGGAGTCCCATTGTAACTGTAGCAAGTGTAGGCACCATGCTGGGGAGCCCAGGGAAGGTGGCCACCACCATCTAGGGCACACCCTGCCCGCTCTGGCTCTTGGCTGTGCCTGAGAGGTTTATCTGAGGACACTAAATGGCTGGAGAGCATTCCCCACACCTCATCAGGGGCCAAGAGGAAGGACTATGGATGGATGGATGGATGGATGGATGGATGGATGGATGGATGGATGGATGACTGGATGGATGGATGACTGTCTGGCCAGATGGATGGATGGATGGATAGATAGGTGGATGGATGGATGGATGGATGGATGGATGGATGGATGGATGGATAGGTGGATGGATGGATGGATAGGTGGATGGATGGATGGATGGATGGATGACTGGCTGGCTGGCTGACTGTCTGGCCAGATGGATGGATAGAAAGATAGGTGGATGGATAGATGGATGGATGGATGGATGGATGGATGGATGGATGGATGGATGAATGGGTGATGCAGACAGGCAGGAACATGGCTTCATCCTGGGCTCCTATTCTCTTCCAGTACCTTCATCCCACTCCATTTTTCTTTCTAACTTAAAAATTGAGTTACATAGAAGAAATAAGTGCATAAACCTTATATGTACAGTGGATGGATTTTTATATACATAAACATCCATGCAGCCACTGCCAAGATCACGATACAGAACAGTTCTAATTTCCTAGGAGGCCCCTTTCTCCCACCCCACTTTGAACAGCAACATCACCTACCCATGACAGCAGCCTACCACACACCTGTGTGACCAACAGCGACCACTAAGCCACTAAGCCCCAGAAGTCATCCTGTTCACAGTGAACTAGACCCCAAGCCCTGGCCTTGCTGTCTCACTTCAGTCCTCTGTCCCTCCTCTCAGGCCACACTGTCTCAGCCTGGATTGGTGTCACAGCCTCCAGGTGCTATGCCTCAAGGTCAAGTCTCCTCTGTCACCTCCTCCACGTGGTGGGGTCTCCTTGAAGATGATGTGATCATTTGGTGATTCCTGGAAATTGGCAGACAGTCACCATTGACCCAGCTGTTCCTTGTGGCTCTTCCTAGAGGCCAAGTGCCAACCAGTTCCTAAGCTGCTGTCTAATCACATGCACCCTGACACCCCAAGGCTCTCCCTGGGACCCAGAAGGATGGGAATGGTGCCGGGGGCAGTGTGCTAGGAGGAAATGCCCACGCCCCCCTCTGGGGACCCAGGACCATTCTCCCAGAAAGAGAGGATATGACCCACTGGAGAAAGAAATGGAAGAATAAGACCCAAACAAAGGGCAGGAAATGCCATTCTGGGCTGGGTGGTCCCTGCGAAGGGGCAGGAGATGCCTGGAAATGCCCCAGGGTGTCCCTCCCAACTTGGCCCCCAGGCGGATGGAAATGCAGGCCCTCGGGCCAGCTGTGAAGAGACAGTTCTCAGGTGGCTTTGCCAGAGCTCTCTCTGTTGTTTGGACCAGTTTTCGGTGAGTGGCTCCTCCAAGCCCCTGGCTCGGTTCATTCCTGCTCTTTCGTCCTCTGACATCCCAGCTGCCTCTCTTCTAGCAAGTCTTTCAGAGTCACTCTGACAACCAGGGTTGAATGCCCCCTGCTCGGTACTGTGATCCCCAAAGGCTGTGCCTGCCTGATCACTCATCTGGGCTATGAACCCCCCGGGGGTGGAGGGGGCAGGGGCCATGTCGCACTCACCACGGTATCCCTGGTTCAGCCCTAGCACATAGCTGGTGCTCAAGGAAACTCTGATGGGTGATGGGATGAATGAGTAAATGCCTGGGGAGGAAGATGAGAGCCCTTCCCAGACGTTTCCTAACCTTCCTGTTGTGGATTCCTATGTCTCCTCCGTGCAACACCCCCCCCACCCCCCCCCGCTTACAGGGGAGGAGGGTGAGGATGTGCTTGACTCCTGGCCCTCCTGGCACCATCCTCTCACACCTGAGACCCTCTTCCTCAGGGGAGACCAGAACTTTCCAACCAGAGAGAAAGTCATGCTAGCTTTGATAAGTAGTTCTTTGGCACCTTACTTTTGGAGGGTGAGAGGAGGAGAATCAAATCACTTTCTAAACAATCAGCAAGTAAGTCGAAGGGAAAAAAAGCTCTGGGCGAAAGGCCGGGGGACCCAGCCCTGCCAATAATAATTCACCTTATTTCCTGAGCACCTACTGTGTGCCAAGGACCACAGTAGGTACTTTACTTCCATTATCTCATTTAACGGAGGCATTATTACTATTATTATCATCAAAATCCCCATTATACAGATGAGGACACTGAGGTATGGAGAGATTAGAACATCTACCAGGAGAGACCCAAGTCAGACCTGTCTGATCCCAAACCCTGCCTGCTGGGCCCAGGGTCAGGCTGCATTTTCTCCATGGCTCTGCTCCCTTCAGATGCCCCCACACCCACACTGAGTCGTATGGAGAAGACCAGGGGGTGGCTGCAGCAGCGGTTGGTACCTGCCCCACAGGGGCTAACGGTGGCCTCTCAGGTGGAACAGGAGCCTTCCGGGCACAAAAGCCACTGTCTTATGATCTGGAACCGAGCAGGGACTAGCGTGTAGCCCATGCTGTCCCTGCGGAAGTGAATCTTCAGTGTTTTTAACTAACACTAACTCCAGGGTGGCTACCAGAAGAAACATCCCAAACTGTTCCAAATTGCTGCTTCTCCGGAGCAGGTTTGGGACAGATGAGGCGTGATACAGGACACTTATGTTTCATTACGAGTCCGCCGGTGGCATTGGTAGAGTTAAGCAAAATTTTGTTTTTAAAAAAGAGACCGTGCCAAGTGAAACACTTCCTCCACTTATAAAACGTTTCCCCCCCCACCCCCCACCACTTCTATCCCCATCCCCATTTTTTTTTTTCCAGGAAGAAAAAATGTTGGCCATCCTGGTGCGGCACGAAGTTCGGAGTGGAGCCTCGGGCAACGTGGGCATGGAGGTGGACGGGCTGCCCTTCCACAGCACCCACGCCCAGATAATCCAGAAGCTGGTGGATGTCACCACAATGTGTGTGTGACTGTGCGTGCAGAGTGCGTCCCAGATGGCCATGCCTGGATCCAGGGAGGAGTTCCCTGAGCCTCCCCCCCGCCCCCCGCCCCAGAATCTTTCCACACAGTCCAGCGTGAGCAAGGCCCGGGACACCGCGCGCCTCCTGCCTGGGACGGGATAGTGCAGGTGATGAGAACCAAGGAGAATGTTTCTTCGGGCTTCCCAGTTTTTTGCTTTTCTTCCTAAGTGCTAAGAGGCATTGATTTCAACCCCCCTGCCCCAGGCTTCTTCAGAACACCCGCATGGTCTGCTCTGAGAGTTTTCTGACCAACCCCTTAATGGGGACACCAGCAAAAATATTACTCGCCAGGCAGACACAAGAGTGGGCCTGGCTGGAGCCATGAATAACCCCCCAGGCTAATTAAGATATAGGGGAAAACCGGGCGGGCATCTGGGTGGCTCAGTCCGTTAAGCGTCTGACCCTTGATTTTGGCTCAGGTCATGACCTCGTGGTTTGTGAGGTCAAGCCCTGTGTCGGGCTCTGCGTTGACAGTGTGGAGCCTGCTTAGGATCCTCTCCTTCCCTCTCTCTGTGTCCCTCCCCCGCTCTCTCTCTTTCTCGCTCAAAATAAATAAATTTTTAAAAAATCGCTAAATGTACAACTATGTAGCGTGTATTTATTTTCAAAGCTCTGGGACTTTACTAAAGGTCTACTCACTACCACCAACAACAAAATATTTATACATCTGAAATGCTTTATTTTTCAGACATTGGGTCTTCAAACCTCACGTCTATCACCATCACCCCTCCTGTCTGTCCCCTCCTGTCTGTTCCTCATCTCTCATCAACCCATGCGTTCTGACACCCCTGCCACAGAACTGACACTTCTCCCACCTCCCCTGCATATGCTCAGCCCCAGCCCGGAGCCGGAGGCTTTGACCGCCCTGTGAAGGAAGGCAGCCACACTCCTGGAGGAGGGGTGTGGGGGAGTCAGGAGCGTCTAGGGCTCAGGTGACTCACAGGGTCCTGCTGGACGACGGTAGTCAGCTTGCCCTTATCTCCCTCACAATCTTCCAGTGCACATTTCCCAGTAAAATTAGACGTAGAGTCACCAACCACATCCCATTACACTCCCCTGTCGAGCGAGTGCAGTATCTTATGCTAGTTCACAGCCAGATGGGGTAGTCTGGCTTCCCAGCTCCAGCTCCAGATGCTTGCTGGGCCTGCTTCGTTTTATTTCCTTAACGATGTCCACTTCAATTCTTTAAGGGGCATTAGTTGTGAAGTGTGAAACACATGCTACAAAAATTACCTCTAGATTGTCTACTCAACCGTAGAAGTTAAAGCCAAAGCGTGTAGTGAGCAATCTGGGATTAACGTCCAGCGCTACGTACATGGCGAAGCCCCTGGCCAGCTGGGGATGGGACAGTCCAGACCTCCCTGTGTCATTCTGGCGGGGAGTCCCCACCTACAGGTCTGTGCTTCCGCTGACGTGGCCCCGAGGGCAGACGTGCTCATTGAGATGAGCTCACCCTCTCACCATCTGCAGCTTCTCACAGCTCCCTGAGCCCGGCTCAGCGCTAAGCTTTACTGGCCAGGTATCTTGCACTTGCAGTTTTCATCCCTGATTTGAGACCACATTGCTCTGTGTAATGGGGGCCCCTCAGAGCCTGCCTGGCATTTGTGAAGTCTCAAGGGCCAGAAGAGAGGAAGCATCACTTTGGTAAAGCTGCCATCACTCTTCTGATTCATATTTTGAGGAAAGACACTAATGGGCCTTTGGTTTTGCAATAGTAATAACAGAGCTCTCCTCTGGCGTGGAGACGTTAAAGGCATGACCGTGCAATAGGTTCTGTGCACTGTGGCCAGAAGTTTACGGGATGATGATGACGTTGTTTGGGACAGAGGCCGAGACCTGGGTGGAGCCCAGAGAAGGCTGTGAGTGGGGGTCCTAGTTCTGCAGTGAGACATTCACAGCACCCCCCACCACCACCACCACAAGGAGAAAGGGGCTAAGGCCCAAGCAAGAGCCAAGAATACACCCCTCTTGGGGCGCCTGGGTGGCTCAGTCAGTTAAGCGTCTGACTTTGGCTCAGGTCATGATCTCATAGTTCGTGGGTTCAAGCCCCGCGTCGGGCTCTGTGCTGACTGCCAGCTCAGAGCCTGGAGCCTGTTTCCAATTCTGTGTCTCCCTCTCTCTCTGACCCTCCCCTTCTCATGCTCTCTCTCTCTCTCAAAAATAATAAATAAAACATTAAAAAAAAAATACACCCCTCAGCAGGGGCCAGCCCTGGACCACTGGAGCTCTGAGTTCCAGGATCCAGTTTCTAGACATTTCTGTTCCACCAGATGATTCCTGGTCAAGCCTTTCATAAAGTTTTGCTCAAGTTTATCCTAGTGTTGGCCATGGTTTGATAAAGGGCATGTGTCCACTTCTAGGGTGACAGAGTGAGCATGGCTACGGCCCAGAGAAGCCAGTTGCAGTGGGACATGCCTGTCCTACAGGGAACCGTGGGGCGGCCCGAGGTAAAGATGGGCTGGGGCACCTGCCAAGATGGATTCAGGGGGCACTGGATGTTGGAGGGGCAACCCGGCAAGCAGTGTCTGGGATACTCTCTGGATATTCAAGGGCAGGCCGGAGACCTTGGGCACATCGAGACGCACATGCCCCATAGACCCTACAGGAGGTGGGGCTCAAAGGCAAGCAAGCCAGCTAATGGGAGTCAGGATTCCTTAGACCCCTGCTGTCCTCTGGTCAAGTGCTGCCCCTTTGCTCATCTGGGCAAGACATTTCTCTGAATTCATTTCCTGCCCCTCATTGCACGGGCTCTGCTGATGGCCACCCCTACCTTCGTCCAGCCCACTGCATTCTGCTCCTTCCTACCCATTCCGTGTGGGTTTCACTGCTCCTCAATGATAATTCTCAGATTCAAAAGACCACTGCTCTAGGCAGGACAGAGAGGATGTGGCTTAACAGCAGTTCACATGAACTCAGTGTGTGTCAATGGTGTGATGTGTCTGCCAGAAAAGCCAATGCATCAACAGATGCACAGTGAGGTAGTGGCCCCGGAGTGGCTCAGTCGGTTAAGCGATTGACTTCAGCTCAGGTCATGATCTCACAGTTCATGAGTTTGAGCCGCACTTCAGGCTCTCTGCTGTCAGCACAGATCCCACTTCAGATCCTCTGTTTTCCTCTCTCTCTGTTCCTACGCCTGCACCCTCTGTCCCTCTTTCTCAGAAATAAATAAATGAAGGAGGAGGAGGAGGAAGAGGAGGAAGAAACTCAGTGAGGTAAATGGTCCCTTTCTCCTCAGCGCAGATCGGACAGGCTTGGTCTCGCTTCAGATCCAAGCATCACATCTGAAGACGTGAGTTGTCTTTTTTTGTTTTTGTTTTTTTTTTCAGATAAGGTAAAACCTGTTAAGTGGAAATAGGTGGCTTAAAGAACCATCTGTCAGAGGCTGGTTGGATGGTCACCACTTCTGCTTCCTCCTCCTGAATACATAGGAAAACTATATTTCCCAGCCTCCCTTGCAGTTGGGTTGGACCATGTGACTGGAATCTGGCCAGTGGAGTGTGTAGACATCAACCACTTCCAGACTTGGCCATAAATGCCCTGTGAGATTCTTTTTGTGCTGCCTCCTGCCTCCCCTACCTGTGTGGATGGAACAATACCCAGAGGTGCTGGAAACTCTTGATGGAAGGATTCGGAATCACTGCCATCACTTGGATGAAGACTTGCCAGAACTGTCAGATTCTCAGTGGACTTTGGATGAACAGGAGACAAACTTTTCTTGTTTTAAGACACTGTGATTGGGGGGATGGGTATAGTCGTCACTGCAGTGTAATCCAGCCTTGTCTAATACAAGCTTGCGACATTTAATACTGAGAAGTAGGATAAGAAAATTCTCTTTAGATGCCAGTTCTTGAAGGGCCAGGGGCTCCAGAGGCATAGTTCATGCACTCTAAGGCCAGTGGGGAAAGTGGTCACTTTGGCTCATTAGGAGTTTTTTCTGCCCAACCCTGGAATGCCTTGTCTTGGGTAGTAGCAAATTGGTGTCATTGGTAGTATTTGTTCAGAAAACTAGACCACCATTTGAGGGAGAGGGGATCTACCTGGGATAATTCCTGGAGAGAAAATGGGGTATCATGACCTCTATGGTACATTCCAGCACTATTATCTAACATCTAATCTAGCAGCGTCCTTCTGAGAGTTGTTGAATTAAAGCAAATGGAATTGAAATCCCATTTCTCTGGGTCACTGGGGACTATTGTGACCTCCAGGTGATTGCCACCAATGGCCACTGTCTTGCTAGATGAATCCCAGGAATGGCGGCGGTAGGATCGCCAGCTTCAAGAAGCAGGTTTTTCGGAAAAGCAGTGAACCAAGCGGACCACATTCTGGCTGTCCTGACTCCAGCAGTCAGAGGAAAGTGGCAGATGGGGATGCATGCTGTGCTGAGAATCTCTCCCACTCTTGTCTGGCCAACCCACAGACCAGTGTGTATAAACAGGAAGATGAGCCCTCATCTTGCTAAGCAACACGGAGGAATAAAAAAGGAATCTAATGACTCCATCACCTTCCGTCCAAACCAGATGAGCCTTTGCTTCTATCCACTCTCTCAGGAGAGAAAGGAGTCTTAATCCCCAATAATGTCTTCACTTAGTCTGTTTAGAAGAAGGATCAGTTCTTGCAGAACACTTCAGGACTCCAGGAATCTGACCCAGAAAAGGATTAAGCGACCCAAACTAAATTTACATTTTAATATGATGCAGTTAATCTTGAGCGATAAACATGTAGCCTGCCACTGTTGAGAAGATGCTAAAACCTTAAAGCACTGGTCAACAAATGTGAGCCTCCCCAAACAAAACCCAAGAAGTGAGGACATCCCCAAGGGATGGCTCTAACAGGTCTTTCTACTTTGACAATCTTCCCTGGTGAGGGGGGTGGTCTGTCTGATCAAGCCCTTCCTCACTGTGGGGGACAGAGGGAGAGATATTCTCCAAATCACAGGGCTGGACTCTGTCCTCAAAAGGGAGGGGACCAAGTTAAGTCCCAGAGTGGATTTGTAACAATGTGCTAAAGAGCTGAAGACACTTTATGAATCTCAAGAGGAGAGAGAGAAGATCCAACTTCACTTGAAGGCTCATCCTTTTTGACCACTGCTGGGTGACCAAGGGCAAACACCCTAATTCCTCTGACTTTTCTCTAAGAAAACCAATCCTTGGGTCTTCCTGACTCTGTTGGGTATTTCAAGAGCCTTCTAAATACCCCTGGTGTTGGAAGACCCTTCTTCCTCATAAAGACTGAAGCAACTCCAGCTGTGGCTGTTTACTTTGTTTTATTTGCAGACTCAAGTTTGCTAAGTAAATCCATTGCACAGTCCAACACACATACTTGGCATAAAAGGGAGAACAATACAAAAATACAACTCTTGATAGTAAAAGGAACCACCCTCAGCTCATCCCGGTCCATCCTCCTAGTAGGAACGCTTTTGTTTAAGGTCAAAATGGGGGGAAATTTGGCATGAGGAGGCATGAAGGTCTCAACCAGTTCCATTGCCCCGTTAAGATTCTGGGCTGGGGGTGGGTGGACTTTTCTTGGCAGTATGGCCATTTCTGCCACTTTGAGATCTGGTCACTTCCTCCTCCAGGAAGGGAAAGAGAAGCTCCCTAGGCTATGGAGGGCTTCCATAAGGAGCTAGAGTAGGGCTACCCAGTCAAAGCCAAACTTCCCTGGGACACATCCAACCTGGGGTATCTGCCTCTGGGCACCCCTGATTGGAGGGTAAGAGATTCGGGATAAATCCACCTCTTGGAAAGAGAGGGGAGGAGAGAGTCAGAGAGATCTAGATTTTTCCCTTGGCTCTCCTTTTAGCAGATTCCAGAAATGTTCTATGGATGCCAGCTTGTATCTCCCTGTCCCTGGTCCCTCCCCAGGCTTGAGTCCACCTAGCCCCTTGGCAGTGAGGAGCTTGAATCCCAGAACTCTGAGGGAAGTCAGAGTTGGGCCCAGCCCACTGACCAGGAAATCTGAAGGGCTAGCATTTCTGTAAAGGTGGGCAGATCTTTGGAGCAGCAAGAAGTTCTTCTGGTCCTTGGTATGTTCGCCAGGGTGGAGGCTTGACATGGTCGGGCACAAAGTTGCAGGAGAGATGAGACTGATACTGAGCTTTCCAGGACAGGACAAAAGATGGCGGCCAGTACCCTGGTCTACATATGGCCCCAGGGACCCACTCTCACTCTACAGGTGTGAGGTGGGTCGTCTGGCAGACGAGCAGAGCTAGAGAACAAAAAGAGGCAGGGCGAGCCCAGGGCCACCTCCTCTTCTGGTCCCAGGGGCTATTTAAACCATTATGGAGCTTAACCCCAGGCCTCTGGGCTGAGAGATGCCAGGGAAGGAGTCTCTGTTTTGTTTTATTATATCTGAGAACCTGGAGACAATGTCAGGGTCCTCTCTGAGACTGCTAGACCCTCCACAGGGTGTGTGGCGGGTGGCTGAGGTGGCGACTGGGGTGAGGACACAACTCTGCCAGCAGTCACATAACCTTAGCCTCAGTGTCTTGGCACAGAGCTGTCATGGAGACCCTGGCATTTTAACCGTGAATACATGCACGCTCGCGTGTGCACGCGCGGGCGCGCGCGCACGCACACACACACACACACACACACACACACACACAGAGTTCCTAGCTTCCGCGTCTGGTGCTTCTGGGCAGATGGAAACAGAAAACTAATTAGAACCCTGTGTGTTAGGAACTTGGTTGCACACACTGGCTTCAGGCCTCTGTCCCCGCACTGAGCATCAGGACTGGCTGTTTAAAAGGACCACAGACATGGCCCCGGGGAGCCCTGGGACTTGTCTTCCATCAGCCCTGGGGGTTGTAGAATCCACTCAATTTTCCCTGTGAAGGTGAGACATGCCCAGAGCTGGGGTCTCTCCTTTCCCGTCACTTCCTTCACTGGCCCCCCACCACACGCCTCCACTGCCCGACCACCTCCCCAGCTCCCTTCTCCCCTCCAGCCTCCCGGGAGGTCATCTTCCTTCTGATCCTTTTGTGGGGTGGGGCTCAAGTGTTAACGGTGACAATACAGCTTCACGCGTCATGTCCTCAGACACACCTGTGCATTGGACGGGTGTCGTCTGTGACAACGGCAGCGGAAGAACTTGGCAGGTGTGCACCCAGACACCGGCCCTCACTTCCCAATCCCCGGCCCTCACACTCTGCACCCTGCCCCCACCAGCCCGTCTTTGAGAACCTCCCGGAGGTGACAATCCCTTGTCTTCCTCTCCCCAGAGGCCGGCAGCGGACAACACACAGCAGCTCAGCGAGCTGGAGCGGGCTCCCCGGGACCAGAGACGCCTCGCGGCGGCCCAGGCCCGTCATTCCCTCCCGTAGGAAGAGCCACCTGCACTTGGCCGAGCGGGCAAGCTCAGGCCTCACTTAGCCCCACACGGTGGCGGAGGGACCCCGGCTAGGCCAAGCCGCCCGTGGGGGACCCGCCCACCCCAGGCGAGCTGGGGGCCTGGAAGGTCGAGTGGAGCCTGGTGAGCAGCTCGGGTTCATCGCTTTTCCCCGAGGTGTCGGGGGCGCCCGTCGTGTAGGCCTCTCTGCCCCGGCCGGTCCCGGCGCAGGTGAGGAAGGCCAGGCAGGCCCCGCGCAGGCGGCCCAGGTCCCTGTGGGTGGACTCGCTGACGAAGCAGTACAGCACGGGGTCGGCCACGCAGTTGAAGCTGGTGAGGAGCAGGGAGAAGTGGTAGGCGTTGAAGACGGCCTTGGCGAAGGGGCAGCTGGCCTCCCAGAGGCTGCGCACCAGCAGCAGGGCGTGGTAGGGCAGGAAGCAGGCCAAGAAGATGACCACCGTGCTGAACACCAGCCGCTGGATCTGGTCCTTGCGGCTCTTCTGGGTGCCGTGGCTCCGGCGCACGGCCCGCAGGATGCCCCGGTAGGAGGCCAGCAGCAGGCACAGCGGGAACAGGAAGCCCACCAGGAAGCGGTAGTGGTTGATGCCGCGCTGCCATGGCTCCAGCGGGTAGTGCTCGAAGCAGACGCGGTGCCGCTCGCTGTCCTCCACCACCTGCTGGTGCGTGAAGAAGTAGACGCTGGTCAGCAGCTCCTTGGCCCAGATGAGCACGCTGACGGCCACGGCCGCCTTCAGGGTGCGGAACTGGTGGAAGCGGAAGGGGTGGGCCACGGCCAGGTAGCGGTCGATGGAGATGCAGCACAGGAAGCCCACGCTGATGTAGATGTTCTCGTAGAGGAGGACGCCGCACAGCTGGCAGGACAGATCTCCGTGCGACCAGTTGTCGTGCTGCAGCACGTACTGCAGCCAGAAGGGCAGCGAGCATATGTAGAAGAGGTCGGCCACCGTCAGGTTGCACAGGTACACGCCCAGCTCGTTCCGGGCCTTGATCTGCAGGTAGCCGAAGTAGAGGGACAGGCAGTTGGCCGGGAAGCCCACCACCAGCACCGCCACATAGACCACCGGGGCCAGAGTCTGGTGGATGGTGTGGTCGATGGTACAGTTCGTCGACGTGTTGTTCTCAGTGATGTTCCCCATCTTCGGGCTTCGAGGGGCCTCGCCCCTCATGGGATCAGGGAAGGGGCCAGGCTCTCCGACGCCATCTTGTTTACGGGAGGTGGTTCAAGCTGTATCAAGGGCTGGGCCTCCTTACTGGTGGGTAAGTCCCTGAAAGGTAAAGGCGGGAAAGGCTTAGAATAATGGCAGCCAACATCTATGTAGCACCTACTGTGTGCCAGGTCCTGTGCTAAGTGCCTCGCTCGATTGAGAAGATAAACCAACTTCAACTCAACTAGACTATCTGAATGGGTCACACGCCAAGATACTAAAATGCGGTTTAGGCCTCCCTGTCCCCCCTTCCCTGGCTTCCTGTCCCTTATTTATTTGCCTGGTCCCTCAGGCAGCAAGCAAGGCTAGGGGCTCTTGTGAGCACCAACTCTCCGAGAGAAGCTCGAGGTAAAGATCAATTCCAATCCATATACCACAGTGAGGGCCCCGGCCATTCTCTACCACAGCATTAGGCAGCAGTCACATTTTTCCTACTCACTCCAAGAAATGTACCAAGTCAGGTAACACTGAGGCACAGCCCCTTCTGGGGACCTCTCCAGACAGCACGGCCCAACTCCATCACGCCCTATTGGTCTCTGGCAAGAAACGAAGGCCATGCTTCCTTCAGGCTACTGCCTGGATTCCTGGGTGCTCACAGGATGTGCTACCCCACCTCTTCTCTGGGGAATTGAGGACCCAACGCAGAAAACAGCACAAGACAGGAACCCAGAGAAATGAACACAAGGCTCAGGTCAGCCGCTTATAGGCTGCACAAGTCATTTACCCCTTGTGAGTCTCAGTTTCCTCATCTAGAAGGTGGGGATAGAAACATTTGCCCTCAGAGACAGTATCAGGGCCACATAAAATGATGGATGTCAAAATGCACGGCATTGTTTTGCCAGAGGCAAAGAGGTGGATTAAAAAATGGTAGTCTTACTCCTATTTGCGAGAAGTTTATCGTGTTGAGAATTTAAGAAAGAAAATGTTATTGCTATATTTACAGATACAATAGAACAAAAGAGATTAAAAATTTTTTGTGAGCCTACTTTATAAATTAATATATCTGATGTTATATAATGAAAGGCCTAAGCTACTCTATTGATTAAACACTTCTGGTTCCAATGAAAAATCTCACTGTGGGTCTAAATCAGGATTTTTCAACTTTCTGTTTGTTTGTTTAACAGCCATCTTCCCCGGGGGCACTTGGGTGACTCAGTCAGTTGAGTGTCCAACTCTTGATTTCAGCTCAGGTCATGATCTCAGGGTTGTGGGAAAGACTCCATGCTGAGCGTGGAGCCTGCTTAGGATTCTCTCTCCCTCTCTTTCTCTGCTCCTCTCCCACTCTCACTTTCTTGTGCTCTCTCTCTGAGAGAAAGAAAGAAAGAAAGAAAGAAAGAAAGAAAGAAAGAAAGAAAGAAAGAAAAAGAAAGTCATTTTCCTAAGGAGCCTCTTTAGACATTTTCCCCCAAACACCCCCTTTCCATGAAATTTTAATACCCCATATATATTGCATATCTGTTTGTGTACTGCAGCCCTTTGGAGGGGGACAAATCATTGTAATAGCTCAGATTTTTTTCACCCACCCAAGAACCAATTTTACCCCCTCCAGAGAATGTATACTCTATGGTTGCCAATTCTGAATGAGTGACGTTTGAATTAAGCTATTTTGAACTTTTTTTTAACGTTTATTTATTTTTGAGAGGCAGAGAGAGACAAAACCTGAGCAGAGAGAGAGGGAGGCACAGAATCCGAAGCAGGCTCCTGGCTCTGAGTTGTCAGCACAGAGCCTGACGCGGGGCTCAAACCCATGGACTGTGAGATCATGACCTGAGCCAAAGTCAGATGCTTAACTGATTGAGCCACCCAGACGCCCCTGAATTAAGCTATTTTGAAGTATCAGCGGATCAATCCCGTCCTTTGCATTGTTTCTTGACAATAGTCAATCTGGGACTCAAGGACCCAGAAGGGAAACCCCTCACAGTGTGTCACCAGCTACCTCACCGCCAGCTGATGAGCTCCCCCCACCCCCCCAACTCCCTCCTGCAGCTCTGCTGTGGCTGCTGCTTGGCCTCTTGCCTCTAAATGGGCAACAGGTGGTTCTGGTCCAAAGCTACCCTCCCCACCTGGGCTCCCTCCCCACCCCGGCTCTCCCCTGCATGTCCCAACCATTACCCTCATGGAAGCCACAGCCTCTTTCTAAATATAACCAGGTCTTCTTCTTCCTTGCTTAAAACCCACTGAGATGACTTCTTACCACACCTACAGGAAAACCAAACTGCTTATGGGGCCTACAAGCTCGGCATGATCTGGCCCCAGCTTCCTCGGCCTTGCTGCCCACGGCCACCCTCTGGCTACAAAGGCCAGCTTTCTGTGCCTCAGGCCACGGAGCCTTGGCCTAATGGCTGCCTCCCTGGAGTGCTGCCCCCTGCCCTCCCCCGACCTCCACCTCTGCCTCTGGGCTGGCTCCCGTTATGCCAGATCTCAGCTCAACCGTCACCTCCTCCGGAGGCCTTCCCTGACCACCCCACCAAAAGCAGCCCCCTCCCGGGTCGCTGTCACATCATCCTGTGTGCTCCTCAGAGCTCCCATCAGTATCTGAGGTTTTCCTGGTTGGTTTACTTGTCTGCTGCTGGTCCGTCTCCACCACAAGAATGCAAATCCCAAGAGGGCAGAGGCCATGTGTGCCTTGAACACTGCCTGGCGCTTGACAGGCACTCATGGATACTTCTGGAAGAAATAAGTGAATGCCCCTTCCCCATTTTACAGGTGAGGAAACCGGGGTTCAAAAGGGGCAGCGACTTGCCCAAAGCCGGCCTGAGGCAGAAAGCATGGGCAGGAGAACCCAGGTCTCGCTCTTCCATGGCCCTCCTCCCTCCCCCCTGCTAGCCAGTGCCCCCACCTGAGACTCACTCCCGAACTCTCTGTCGGCCCACTTCTCCACCCTCTCCAGGACACGAGCCCCGAGCCTGAGCGATGGCGGCAAAGGGGAGTGCTTCTTGTTGTTCTTAATTGTGGGTAGATATATATAACATAAAATGTACCATGTTAACCATTTTTAAGTGTACGTTTCTAAGCGGTGTGAAGTACATCCACACGGTTATGCAGCCATCACCACACCACCCATCTCCAGAACTTTCTCGTCTTCCCAAACTGGGAAACTCTGTTTCCTTTACACCCTAGCCCCCCATTCCCCTCAGCCCCAGCCCCGCAACCACCATTCTACTCTCTGTCCCTGAATTTGACTATGCTAGGACCTCGTGTGAGGGAAATCACTCAGTGTTTGTCTTCTTTGCATCTGGCTTATGTCACTTAGCAGAATGTCCTCCAGATTCACTCACGTGGTGGCAATATTGCCGAATTTCCTTCCTCTTGAACGCTGAAGAACAACCCGTTATATGTATGTACTATATTTTTGTTTTTCCATTTATTTGTAAATGAACGTTTGAGTTGTTTCTATCCTACCTACTGGCTAGTGTGAATAACGCTGAGATGAACAGGGACGTAGAAGATCCACTTGAGTCCTTGTTTTCAGTTCTTTGGGGTGAATACCCAGAAGTGGAATTACTGGATCATAGGGTAGTTCTATTTTTTTTAATGTTTTTTTAAAATTTATTTCTGAGAGAGAGAGACAGTGTGAGCAGGGGAGGGTCAGAGAGAGAGGGAGATACAGAATCCGAAGCAGCCTCCAGGCTCTGAGCTGGCAGTCAGCACAGAGCCGGACACAGGGCTCGAGCCCATGAACCATGAGATGATGACCTGAGCTGAAGTTGGATACTTAACTGACTGAGCCACCCAGGCGCCCCAGGGTAGTTTTATTTTTAATTTTTTTTTGAGGAACTGCCATTCTGTTTTCTATAGTGGCTGCATCATTTTACATTCCCGCCAATAGTGCATGAGGGTATTTTCTTGTTTTTTGCTTTCTGTGGGTTTTTTTTGTTTGTTTTTTGTTTTTTGTTTTTTGTTTTTTTTTTGGTTATATGTTTTGATGGTAAGAAGAAGGGGGAAAAAGGGCAGCGGAGGCCCGTGACCCTTCAACTCTGCCCACGGCCGGTGAGTCAAACTCTGGCTCCACTCACCCTTCACTTGCCAGCCTCCCATCCCTGAATCCCAAGCCCACGCACAGTTCAGCTGGCTTACATACGAGAAGGTCAACAGCCGGACACGTCCCTGAACTGTCCCCAAGAGCACTCACTCAGGGCAGTCCCTGTCTCTGAATTTACCTCAGGTTCTCCGAAGTCCAGAGAAAGTCCACCCGCAGGAAGATAAAATTCATTCCTAAGCAGAGGCCCCCAGGTGCCCCCCAAAACAGGGCAAATGAAGCCATAGTGAAGAAAAACACGTCCTGTTGGGTCTTCGGTATTTTTTGAGAGTCACTAGGCTAAAGTCTATTGTTTATTAGTGGTGAGTGTATATATGGGGAAATGGCTTGTGGCTTCCTTTTTCCTAGGCCAACAATAAGCAATTTCTGGCAACCAAAGTCAAAAATATTCAAGCGTGCAGGGCAAAGAAGAACCATTTACTATGTTTAGATTAAAACACCTCCTACATTCCCTTGTAGCAAAAAGAGGGTTTGGGTGTTTCCAGAGCAGTGGTTTTCAAATTTAGGTGCATCTGAGACACCTGGAAGATTTGTTCCAAACAGGTTATTGAGGGGTGCCTCCATCAGTTAAGCATCCAACTTCTGATTTCGGCTCAGGTCGTGATCTCGCAGTTCGTGAGTTTGAGCCCCGTGTCGGCTCCGTGCTAACAGCGTGTAGCCTGCTCGGGATTCTCTCTGTCTCCCTCTTTCTCTACCCCTTCCCTCTTCATACTCTCTTCTCTCAAAATAAATACATAAACGTAAAAAAAAAAAACTTATTGAGATTATTGAACCTTACCTACAGAGGGTCTAATTCAATGGGTCTGAGGCAGGGCTTGAGAATTTGCAACATGTTTCTATGTGGTGTTGGTGTGACCAGCCCACCCACCACACTCTGAGTAGCAAGGCACTCAAAGGTCTAGAAAGTCTCAGATCTGAGTCCCGATATGGGGCAGGAGAAGCATCCTGATAACTCGAGTTCCCAAGCTGGGAGGCAGAGCTGGCTGTAAGGGGACTTAAGACCCACAGAACCCTTGTGGGCAAAATTAGGAAGCAGACTTTGGGAGGTCAACAGCCTCAATCACTCTCTCAAGAAAGTGACTGGATCGTCAGGGTACTTAGACCTTGTATTTGCACAATCTTCTACAGTTTACAGAGCATTTCGCCCCCGCCCTCTCACTCGTCTTCACTATAGCCCCGTTATTTTCCCCATTTTAGGGAGACGACGCTGCGGCCCAAAGGGTGGAGTGGCTTGCCCAAGAATCCAGTTCCTCTGTGTTTCTCCCACCCACAGGGAGCGTCCAGTCTCATTAGACCGAAGAGCACACGCACAAATGACTATCGCTCGAGGCAGTGCACGAGGAGTGTGAGCCTCCCTCATACTCACATTTAATGTTGGTTTGTTCTTTTCACTCCACGCACATCCTCTGTGGGAGAGCATCCCTCTGTGGTTTCAACCCCATCTGCACTCTGACAACTCCAGACCTCCCGCCAGGCAGACAGTGGATGTAAGCAGCTTCCTGCTGCCTCACAGGATATGCTCCATGAAGCCCAGCCCCCTTCCATCATTTTCTCAACTAACCTGCTCTTGGAAGGGGCATCTCTACCTGCCCAGATGAATGGCCTTTGGCTGTCTTTCCTCATCTTCATCCAAAGAATCCAGTAAATTACCCAGCTCTACCGTTTTCAACTCCTAAATATTTCCCATATCAATCTCCTCTTCTTCAGTTCCTATACCAATGCCCTAGATTGGCTTGGACAAGACTTCACCCCCAGAAGCAGTACAATGGCCTATTAGATTTCCTAGCTCCATCTTACCACCTTAAAGCCATCTTCTAAAATAAAATCTAACAGAAACATTCTAACTTCAGACCCTTCGCTGGCGCTCCAATCATCCATCCACGCATCCATGCAACTATGCTTTCATGCATCCATCCATCTGTCCATCCATTCACTTATTCATTCATACAGCAGATACTTACTGAGTATCTATTGTAAGGAAGGCACAGCACTACGCACTGTCACTTAGGGAAACTCAAGTTACTTTTACTCTCATGAGACAGTGGAGGAGATAGTGAGACCAGCTCCTAAGGAGAGCACAGGACTTTAAGGGAGCTCATGGGAGGTAACCTGAAAGCCAGAGAAGCTTTCCTGAGTGGCAAAGTTAGACTAAGGCAGAAGAAGGGGGAAGGGATGCCCAAGCAGGGGGGAGTTTCTGCCTGTGGAAACAATGTGTGCAATGGGCCAAATGTGAGAGAGACAATGGGCACGTTGGGGGAACTGAGAGTGGCTTCACATGACTGGGTGTAGGTATGAGGAAGCGTGGCCAGAGAGGAGACAAGAAGAAGCTGTAGAAACTGACAACTAATTAGAAGGGAGGTGGGGGGCAGGGACCCCAGTCAGGGACAAATCTGAAATGTTCCTTAGTGCTTGGTCCTTACAAACTCTCAAAAATTGTTAGAGGATGGTTAGGTGCAGAGGTAGGTGGGTAGATACGTGAATGGGTAGATAGATGGATTAGTGGATGAGTAAATGAATGTATGAGAGAGTAGATGGATAGACAAATGAGTGAATGGGTAGATAGATGGATGAATGGGAGGGTGGATAGGTGGATGGATGTGTAAACAGCTAGATGGGGGGCGCCTGGGTGGCTCAGTTGGTTGAGCTTTGAACTTTGGCTCAGGATATAACTCACCATTCATGAGTTTGAGCTATGCATCAGGCTCTGTGCTGACAGCTCAGAGGCTGGAGCCTACTTTGGATTCTGTGTCTCCCTCTCTCTGCCCACCCCCTGCTCACCCTCTGTCTCTCTCTCTCAAAAATAAATAAACATTAAAAACTTTAAAAAAAAATGGCTAGATGGGTGAGGGGTAGACAGATGGGTTAATGAGTAGCAAGATGGATGGATGGGTGAGTGGATGGTAGATGGGTTTGAGGTTGGGTGCTGGGACAGTGGGGTATCATTAATAGAAAAGTAAGGAGGAAGGATTACTGTGGTTTCCTTTTCAGAAGCCTGGCATCTGCGCAAGCCTCCAGAGTTGGTCTGAGGGTCCATCTTTTACAATCAGGTCTTATCACAGCCAGCCTTGCCTTCTTCCACTCACCCATCCATCGATCTCTCTACCTTGCCTTCTACTAGTTCCTGAGGACAGGTACCCCCAGAAAGAAACTATGCCTCCCCAAGAGAATCCCTTCTCTACCTGGTATCCATAGGAAACTTCCTTCTCAAAAATCAAGGGACACAGTGGATGCAAAAGTGTTCGGTAATGGAAAAACGTAGAGGGAATGGAAGAACCAAGCCACATCGGCTGGGAAGGCTCAACATGCTAGGTATATTTCCACACATCCGTTCCCTTTCAATACCATTCTCATCAGTGCCCATTTTATAGATGAAAAAACGGAGGCTCAGAGAAATGAACCAACGTGCTTAAGATTCCACAGTTACGATGTGGTAGGCTAGGTTTTGAACTCAGACCGGCCCACATTCTATATTATGTTCTCTTTCTCTCTATCATGATGATCACTGAGCAACCACCCTCCACCCCCACCCCCCAACCCCAGGCTTTGCTAAGCTCCAGTCCTCAGATGCCACCATGAGGGCTGCCAGGCTTAGTCCTGGGCTAGCTCCCCTGCACCAGGCAGATGTCTGCGAGGTCCACCATTTCCTCAACACCCAAAGTGCACCCCGTCCGTGGTTGCCCAAGGGGTGGGGTTGGGGGGCAGAAAACAAACGCAAGGAGTCTCTGCATCCACCCCAAACACTTCATTGTCCAGCTAAGAAGCCCACAGACTACACACAAAACAACCAACACCTAAAAGCAAATCTTTCTACAAATGCTCATCAGCAGAGAGAAAGGTCTTCCAGGACTTTAACGACCAAGAAAAATTAGCCCTGAAAGGAAGGAAGCGCCTTTTGACGCAAGCTGAGAGCCTCCTGCACATTCCCAGCCAGAAGGCGGAGGTGCCTGATGCTGGTGTTGGGCTGGTACATAAACAGCGATCTAATCCGTCGCCGTTTCTTCCGTGTGCTGCACACAGGCACGCACACACACACACAGTTACTCACGGAGCCCCGAGCCCATGGAGCAGGGAGTTTCCTGCGCGCCCTGCTTCCCTTCCCTTCAGCTGGTCAAACTTCCACATGCTTTCAGAGCCTGACACTTGCCTCCGAGACAGGAGTAGAAATCAGGCTGCAGCTTTCCTTAGTCCCATCTCGCTCCCAAATAGCCTCACTCCAGCAACACAAACGAGAAGAAGATCTCATTTCCAAAGCCCTTGTTACCGTATGAAAGTTCAGTCCCATCTGGGCTCAGGCAGTCGCTCTGAGGCAGGTGGGGCTCGCTATCCCATTTCACAGAAGCTGAAGCCCAGAGAGCCTAACCCAGTTGCTCAAGTTCACAGGGTAAGTCAGGTGGGTCTGAATTCAGAGCGCAGGCACCACGGCACTAATTTGCTGCCTTTTAAGCTCTTTTGACCACCAACTATAGCAAGAATACATTTGACATTGTAACCAAGCATGCACAGACATCGCACACACACACACACACACACACACACACACACTCACAGACTCACACACATGCCTATAGAGGAAAAACACTTCCCCAAAGCAATACTTACCCCACTACTTGCCACACGCTCTGATCATTTCTATACTAAATTGATTTCCTGACCCACTAATGAGTCACGATTCTCAGTCTGGAAACAGCTGGACTGATTCCCCCGCCTGCTCAGCCTCCAGACCCCAGGAAGGCGAAGGTCTCTGCCGCCAGGTGAAGAGCAGGCAGGGAGCGGCAGCAAAGGGGGAATCCGGGTCTTCTCTGACGGTCCACTCGGCCGAGCTCTGCCCTCAAACCTCAGAGAGCCGGGCTTCCTCCAGCGGCTCTGGAGAGGCCTGGGGGAGGAGACTGGAGCCACCTTGCCGGGCCTGGGGGAGTCCCCAAGCAGGCCACTCCGCAGCCGGACCCGCGCTTCCCCTCCGGAGATTTCCCACAGACCACACCTCCCAGCTCGGTCTAGAAAATCCCAGCTGGAGGCTGCCCATTCCTGAGCTGAGGCAGAATCATGTGAACTCCGATCTGGTATCAGGCTGGGCGGTTGCTGAGAAACCCTTGCCTGCCAAGGATGAGAGCAGAGCGGGACCGCTCCCTCCACGCATCCCATCCTCCAAATACTCCACATACCCCAGGGGCAGGGAGAAACCTTGCCGGGAACGCGAAAGCCTGAGTTGGGGGTAAGAGGCCTGGGGAGTCAGGGGGGCAGCACAAGGGGCTGAGCACACTAATTCTACCCATCACACCACCTTGAGCACCTGCCAGACACCAGGAGAGGAGGTACAGGGTGTCGAGCCCCTGCCCCAGGGGTCCTTGCTTGAGCCGTTCAGACAAGCCAATGCTCAGGTCTCGAATATTCTGTGGGCAGCAGCAGGAATGATGGGGCAGCAGGCCAGGACCCGGGAAGGTGACTGTTTACACCCCCCAGCCCCTGGATGTCACCCTTCAGCTGCCAACAACCTCACATCTGGGTCAGTGGGTCGCAACTCACCTAAGAACATAACTGGGGAACTTGTAAAAATTAATACTAATGCCCACGCCCTACCTCAGACGAATTACTTGGTCCTTCTGGAGGTGAGGTGCCCGCGCCAATGTTTTGCAAAGATCTCGGGACAATTCCAGTGGGCAGCCAGGTGAAGAAGCACTGACGTGGCGGAGGCAAGTTGGATCCTGTCCTGCAGACGGACAGAGCCGGGGCAACGGGGGAAGGTTCTGGGCTATGAATAAGGCAAGCGTCGATGTTTTAAAAGAGCATGGCCCAGAGCAGGGAGTAAGCACAGGGCTCTGGCTTCATGGGGTCTTCTGCTTCTCAGGAGCAGTTACTAAACTTGCTCAGCACAGCAGGACTGGAAGACCCTCCTGGAGGTTACACATCCCAGCCCCCTCATTTTATAGACAGGGAAACTGAGGTACAGACGGGCAAATGCTCTAAACCGGGGCATTACAGCTAAATGACAGAGCCGCGATTCTCAGACGCCGTGCTGTTTTGGCCTAGCCTCCTCCCTTTGAGGTAACCTCTTTGGAAGCTGCTCATGGGATGTGTTGCTGGAGCCCAAAGGCCAGCACCCACTGTGCATGGGGGTCATTGAGAAAGTGCGTTCTCCCTGCCCCACTGAATGATCTGGGGGACTCATCCTCTCCAGAGGGCCAATCGCTATAGTCTTTCAGGGGGACCGTTTTGGTAGGGGTCTCAGAAAAAATCTCCCTGTGTTGGGCCTGGGCCCTCCAAGCAAAGGCTTCCAGACACAGATGTTCTTCCAGAGCCGTGGAAGTGTGGCTGGCATTCCCTGATGTCACAGGAAGGAACGCGTGGGTGAGGAGTGCAGGATTGACTTAGTGGTGAATGCCCGATGACCGGTGGACACAGAGGCCAGAGAGAATGCCTCTGGCCCCTTCCTCAGGGTGGCCCGGCCTAGGAGGACATGCACACGCAGGGGGAGGGAGGGGCTTAGTCTTCCTCAAGTCAGCTGAGCCCGCACCCTCTGAGACGCCCACTCAGTAAGAGAAAAAGGAGCCCGTGCTGTGTTCTCCTTTGCTGCCAGGATTTTGTCTTGGACCTAAAACAGGAAAGAAGCCCTAGAAAGTATGACAACACAAAGCATCGAGCAGGGGCCTGAGGGGCCCTAGGGACCCCATAACCTCGAGTCACCCAAACCTCGCTAAATAAATCTACAACTAAGTACAAAGTAATGAGTGTGTAATAAAAACACAGCCTCAAGAGAAGGCCCCGGATGGCCTCCTTGCATCCAGACTTTTGTCCTTAAGCCCCAAGCAATAGCATCTTAGAGCTGCCGATGAGCAGAGTAGAGAGTTTATCGAGGAGCAAGAATGCCCGAGCTCTGTGGGGTACAGTGGCCTCACAGCGGTTGCTAGGGCCACCTCGGTGGCTCCTTCCATCCTGGAAAGAAACAGGACATAAATTGGGCCAGACCTCCACCTGAGTCCACTGTCCCCATCTCTCGGCCCTCAGTGACAGCAGTCAGGAAGAACTGTAGGCCCCCAGTGAGATGGCGGCCCCAGGAAGTTGGACTGAGCCCAGGGCAGCCCTGTCTGCCCCCAGCATAAACATCTCCTCCAACAACCTTGGCTCTGAGGGGCTGGTGGACTTCTCTGAGCTCCTCTGGAGGCTATTTTGAGGGCCACAGGACCATAGGCCACAAGGCTCTCAGGCACCCCCTGGCCCTTAGAATCCAGACAGTCTGAGACTTGTCATAGGGAGGACTTCGGAGTCTGTCCCGAGCTGGTGGGACCATGCAAGCCCCCCAGCACATGGCAGCAACGCCCTGGGCATGGGTTGAAGGTTAAGAGCAGAGGCTCTGGGGGGCACCTGGGTGGCTCAGTTGGTTAAGCATCCGACTTCGGCCCAGGTCATGATCTCGCCGTCTGTGGGTTCGAGCCCTGCGTCGGGCTTTGTGCTTACGGCTCAGAGCCTGGAGCCTGCTTCAGATTCTGTGTCTCCCTCTCTCTCTGACCCTCCCCCGCTTGCTCTCTGTCTCTCAAAATAAAATAAAGACATTAAAAAAAAAAAAAAAAAAAGAGCAGAGGCTCTGGTCCAGACAGTGCAGGTGAAATCCCTGGGCTGCCGACCACGCCACCACACTGCACTTCTTGAAGACCCTATAGAGCTGTGCTTCTCAAATGCAAGCGTGAACAACGGAGCCATCTGTGAGTGTAATGGGCTGGGAGAGAGCCTCTGGGCGCGGAGGGGCTTTGAACTGTGCCCTGAGAGCAAAGGCCCGGCCAGATGGGCGGAAGGAGGCTGAAGCGTGAAGGAAGGGAGAAGGCCCTGTCAGCCCTTGCTCAGAGGCCCGACACGGGGTCTACCCACTTCCTGGCCTCTTCTCCCTGGTCTTTAGGGGCAAATGCCATTTCCCAGGGGAGCTTCGGCACACCTGCATGAGTATTCCCAGGCCCTGCCCTGCATTCACTGACTCCGAATCACTTAGGGTGAGGTCCAAGAGGCTGCACTTTGAGCAATACCTTCGGGTTTTTCTGACACACGTCAAAGGCTGAGAACCACGGCTTTAAGGCCCACCTCCTGCACGCATCCCTTGGGTTCTTTTCATCCTTCCTTGGCCAGCTTGAGGACTGTGACTGCAAGGAGCTGGGACCAGGGCTCTTCACACATAGAGAAGGTGACCAATGAATTCCAAATGACGAATAGGCCCCGGACAAGGGGACGCCGGGAGGGTGCTTACATACTCAGAGTTACCACGACATGCGAGGAGTCTCTGTGTATCCCAGAGCATGCTTCGCTGATGGCTCACAGCAACCCTGGAAGGTAAATATTATTATCCCGTCTTTACCACCGAAGACACCCAGGGTCACAGGGCTGGCAGTGCTGGGATTCAAGTCAAGTCTAAATTCACCGTATTTTGGGGCGCCTGGGTGGCTCAATCAGTTAAGCATCTGACTTTGTCTCAGGTCATGCTCTCACGGCTCACGAGTTCAAGGGCCACATTGGGTAAGCCTAAGCCCAGCTTTGGGTGAGCTTTGGGTGAACACGTGCCCAGCCTCAAGCAAGCCCTGCTTCTCTCTCTCTCTCTGCCCCTCATGGACTCTCTCTCTTCCTCTCTCTCTCTCTGCCCCTCATTCACTTGCACCTTCTCTCTCACAAAAAAAAAAGAAAAAGGAAAAGAAAAAGATTCTCTCTCTCCCTGTCTTTCTGGCCCCTCCCCCGCTCTCACTCTCTCTTTCTAAAATAAAAAACAAACACATAAATAAATAAAATAATTAAAAAATAAATCCATTGTATTTTAGTAACTATCCATGCAATGCATGGGAATTTGTATGATTATGTGCTAATACCCACCTACAGCTCCAGGCAGTAAGCCCCATGAGGAGGAGGAGCTGGGTCTGTTTTGTTCTCTCTCAGGGAGAAGGTGGTTTGGCCCAAAATAAATGCCCAACAGAAATGTGTTGAATGCTTACATGAATAAATGAATCTGAAATCCATTTCTTTCTGCCGCCCAGTGTGGCTGGAATTGAAGTCAGGAGCTAACAGACTGGGGCAGACAGACTAGGGAATGAGGCAACAGGAAGCGGGCTGGCTTTGACTCCCAACACATGGGTGGGTGGCCATGTGTGAAAATGTATTACGGTGGAAACCTACCAATGAAACAGAAACTTTGGTCTGTCTTTAGAGAGTCTGTGGTCTTTCTGAGAAGGTCTCAGCCGTCTGGGACATCCTTCCTGCTTGGAGCCAAAGCACAAACCACAGACCTGAAGGTTGCCATGGCGACTCCTAGGGCCTGATGCCCCCTCTGGCCTCCTGCCTCCCCACCCCCGGGGCTCCAACCCATCAGTTAATAACCTGATCATGTAGGACAACAGTCACTCCCCAAGCACCCAAGCAGCAGCCCTCTTGCAAAATAAACAGATTTCTCCAGGGAACGGAGAGCTACGGACATATTCATTCTACTCAGCTCGGGCCACCTGCTAGAATCTACTTTTCAGAATCCACATTATCCTCTTCCTGGCTTCTCCCTTTCGTTGTAAAGACAAGGGGCTGGCAGAGGCGGTGACTGGAGCCTCAGGTTCTAGGGAAACAGATCACAGAGAAGCCACCATCTAGGGTGCCTGCTCCCTCATCCCGGAACCAGGCCCGGAGAAAGTGACCGTGGCCAAAACAGGCCCTGTGACAAGGCCCTAATTATGGATGTCTGTTTCTCTGCCGGTCTTCTCCTTTGCAAAGATGAATTAATTTGTCACCATGGCACCCAGGAAAAAAAAAAAGGAAAAAGGAAAAAAAAAAGCTTTCAAGTTGTGGTAGAGTCGAGATAGTTGGAGATTGTTAGATGCTTTTCTCATTGAGAGGTAGAGTCCAAGTCCCCTCCTCTTGAATGGCAGTGGGCTCTGTGGCTACATGATCAATAGAATAAAGTGGAAGCCACACTTGCTCGTTTCTGAAGAGACTATAAATCTCCATTTCCTATCCCTTGGGATGGTTGTTCTTGAAACCATGCCGTGGGAAAGCCCAAGCAGCCTCCTGGAGTGGACCCACGGAGACCCTAGCCAACAGTCCCCGCTGGCAGCCAGGATCAAGTGGCTTGTCACACGAGCCTGTAATCTTGGAAGAAGAGTCTCTGGCACCAGCTGGGCCGTTATTAGCTGACGCTGTAAGGAGCAGAGATAAGCCATCCCCACCGAACCCTGCCCAAATCTCGGATTCCTGAGCAAAATAGATGAGTACTGTTATTGTAAGCAACTACCTTTAAATATTTTTAAACATTTATTCATTTTTTTGAGAGACAGAGTGAGACACAGAGTAGAGCAGGGGAGAGGCAGAGAATCCAAAGCAGGCTGCAGGCTCTGAGCTGTCAGCACAGAGCCCGATGCGGGATTCAAACTCACGAACCATGAGATCATGGCCTGAGCCAAAGTCAGACGCTCAACCGACTGAACTATCCAGGAACCCCTTAAGCAATTGTCTTTAAACTGGTTTGTTACGCAGCCATAGAAAACTGGAACACAAGTATTCTTTTTCTCCAAAATCAGGTGAGGGCTTATCATGTGCTGGATCCATTCATATGGTTATTTTAATTTTTAGGACAACTTTGTGAGGTGGATATAATAATCTCCATTTTTTTCCATGAAATGCTAAAGCTCAGAGAGGTAAGGTATCTTGTTTGAGACCAGCCAGCTAGGAAGGATAAAACCCATTTCCACTGTTTTCACAAGTCTTCTCTCCCTACAGTGTGCAGTGTACCCAGAAGTGCAACCGGACAGTAATAACAATACTCCTAGCTAACACCCAGGGGCACTGTAAGGCTTTCAAGTCAAGATCTTCATCTGTATGGGCTCAACTATCATGCCCATTTCACAGAAAGTCACAATGAGGCTTAAAAAGAGGGTGGCTGATTTGCCTAAGGTAGTAATAGCTCTAATAACAGGAAGAGCTGAGATTTGCACCCCAGTTATCTAGCTCTGGAACTGCGCTCTCAGCTGCAGATGCTCTAGTCAATAGCATCCACACTGTTCCAGCCTGGCATCCTCCTTACGCTTAGGAATCCTTTTCCCACCATCCGCTGTTTGGAAGCTTACCTGCGGGGAGGGCAAAGCAATCTCACCTTCTCAGATCTGTACCATTCTCACGTCTCTCGTGTCCTCACAATCCCTCTGTGCGGTGGCCGTGGCCAGTACTATTTCCCTTTCACAGGGGCCCAGCCACTGGCTCTGGCTCCAAGTCAATGCTCCCTCCTCTTTTTCTCCGCCTAAATCCCAAAGTGTCTTCCTGAGCCGTTTGGCCAACATATCACTGTTCTCCAGCTGGAGGCGTACCGGAGCCCAAGGATCGCCAGGCAGGTGGCCTTGCCAGCCCCATCTGGGCGCTCCTTCGGCCAATCGCAGGCAAGCTTTCCCTGTGCCAGACGCCTGCCCTTCACCTAAAACGCAGCGCAGACCTGGGGAAAGGAAGGGAAAGCCTGGCCCACGCTGGATCTTGGGTCCCCCGTGCTGCCGAGCTTTGGGAAATGAAGGGTTAGCTGTGTGTGTGCGAGCGCGCGCGCGCGCATCTGTAATTACTAGGTGGCCACAGAGCCAGCCAAGGGGGTGACTGCTAACCCAGGCAGCAACCTCGGGCAGAGACACTACCCCGGAGGGGGCCCGGGACGCGCCGGCGCTCCGGGGCAGACACCAGGCGGGGCCTGGCAGGAGCCGCGTCTGCCCGCAAACCCCCGTCTGCCCGCTTCCGCTGAGCGCCCGCCGCGCTCGCCCCGGGCGCGCCCGCACTTGGCCGCCCCGCCCCTCCGGGCGCGCGCACACGAGGCCGCTCCCGCACGTGCCCGCCCCGCCCCGCGCACCCACGCGCACACGCGGTCGCTCTCGCGCTTGGTCGCCGCGTCCCGCGCACGTACAGGTGCCCCCACCGGCCGCGAAGGCGCGGAACCGGCAGCCAGTGCCCAGGACCCGGCCGCTGTCCGCAAGCGGTTTCAGGGCGCGCCAGGGACCCCGCGACGTCGGCTAGAGGAAGAGGCAGGGCTGGGCGTGGGGGCGTGGGGGCGTGGGGGGGGGACCCCTACCTGCGCGGTAAAGGGCCCGCGTATGGCTCGCAGGCACCCCGCGTGCTGTCAGCGTCCCCTGCTAGGGTCTGCGCCCAGCAAGCAGAGTGGGCACTGCGTCCTCTGGGTGCTGGCAGGGGTGGCCTGGGAATGCGGCGGGTCCATTTCCAGCCCAGGCCCTGAGTTCCTCCATCCTCTCCGCCTTCCCACCCCGCTCTCCCCCTACCCCCGCTGGTTGCTGATTGGGCACACCCAGCCCTGCCGGTCCTTGCCCAGCCTTTCTGACCACAGGCCACAGGCTAGGCGCCTGCCAGGGAGAACCACAGTCGCTCAGACCTGTCCTGGAGGGACAGCCCTCCCCACCCGCTACGATCCCGTCCCGGGAACAGGCCCTGGAGCAGCCAGGGGTGGGCCTGACTGGTATTGGCCGCAACAGCACAAGGGACTTTCTCCAGCCACATCCCTAGGGAAGCTGAGAGAAGAGTCCATGAAACGACCTTTCCGTCTTTTTCTCGCCCTTGTCCTCAGCACCAGCACATCAGTAGCCACTCAGTAAATGCGGTACCGCGTTGCTGCCCTGAGCGGCTCTGCACCCCGCCCCCCAACCTCAGCCGGGCCGGGGTGGGGGATGGGGTGGGGGAGGGGGGAGGGGGCTCCAGGAGTCTACACTGAGGTTTGCTGCTTCCTGGATTCCTGTGCTGGTGCTTAGATGATCCTATTAGGTACATGCTATTATCATCCCCATTTTACACATGGGGGAATAAGGCACAGAAAGGTCCAGTAATGAGCCCAGGTCTCACAGGTAGTGGAGGCAATGAGTTTCAAACTTAGTCGGCAGAGTCCAGAGCCAGCAGTCTATCCCCAGCCACCCTTAGCTGTCGCCCTCAACACCTCTGCTCTTTCACATCTGCATACTGTCATGCCTTTGTCCCTCTGCACTCAACTCCCGTCCCCACCTTCTGAACCCCAGCCCCAGTTTAAGAAAGTCAAAAGTAGGGGCGCCTGGGTGGCTCAGTTGGTTAAGCGTCCAGCTTCGGCTCAGGTCATGATCTCACGGTTTGTGGGTTCGAGCCCCGCATCAGGCTCTGTGCTGACTGCCAGCTCAGAGCCTGGAGCCTGCTTCTGATTCTGTGTCTCCCTCTCTCTCTGACCCTTCCCTGCTCATGCTGTCTCTCTCTCTCTCTCTCTCTCTCAGAAATAAATTTAAAAAAAAAATTAAAAATTAAAAAAAAAAAAGTCGAAAGTCGCTTCCCCATCAGGCCTTGTTCGCTGTTGCAGGCAATTTGTGCTCCGCCCCCTTGGCTCTCTTCCCAGCATCTTCCGCACTGTCCAGTTCAGGTCGCTGGTGCACAGCTGTCTCTCTGTAGGACTCTCACTCCCGGCCCAGCAACTGGCTCGGAGGAGAGAACTCCATTCCTGTTTGTGAAATGAGTGTCTGGGAATGGTCACCGCAGAGACTTGTGCCATTGGTCATGAGGGCGGATGGTCAGGGGTTCGGTCGGAGGGCAGCCAGAGCGCAGACAGGGGAGGTAAAGAGAGAGATCAACGTCTCACCTTGTGCTGACCCCTCTGGGTGGCTCCAAACTGCTCACCCTGTGACCCCGCCGCTAGGTGAGTCTCTGAAGGGAGACGGACAGTGGACCAGAGGGCAGCGAACACCTTAGCAGGAAGTTGCAGGGGAAGCAGCGGAAGCAAGAACCTCCCAGCAAGCTCTTCTCAGAGGCTGGGTCGGTCTCCGCTGCCACGTCTTCCTCCTCCTTGCAGCATCTTCACAAATGAGTTTTCTAGATTAACTATTCATGCCATAAACTGCACCTATGCTTTTCAAAACTTGCCAGGCTGAGTGTAGAATTGTGTTTGCCTTCAAGGGGCTCCTGGGTGGCTCAGTGGGTTAGGCGCCTGACTCTTGATTTCGGCTCAGGTCGTGATTTCCCGGTTAGAGAGATCGAGTCTTGCATCTGACATCGCAGAGCCTGCTTGGGATTCTCTCTCTCTCTCTCTCTCTCTCTCTCTCTCTCACCCCCTCTCGCTCTCAAAATAAATAAGCTAAAAAAGAAGTTTGCCTTCCAAGGCCAGTGTCTGAGTTAGAGTCCTAGCTCTGCTACTTACCAGTAGGGTGACCCCCTTAACCTCTCTGTGCCTAGTTCCTTGTGCATGAAATGGGGACACCCCTTCAAAAGGGGGTTGAAATGAATTCACAGTTAAATCAGGCAAAGCCCTCAGCTCGACACCCAGCAGATATTAGGGTTCGATAGGTGTTAGCTGTTACTATTGTCTCCTCCAAATACCCTCTTATATAGGCTCTTATCTTTGAATGCTTGCGGTCCATAGTGCGTATGAATGGTCTCTTTGAATTCCAACGAGTAGTTTTATTCTCTCCAATTTACAGATCAGGAAGCTGAGATTCAGTGAATTATCTGAGGCCACTCGGTTCTGAGTGTCTGAACCAGGATTTGAAGAGAGTCTGAACGGAAGCTGCTGCTTGCAGCAGTGATGTCCTGCCTCATCCTGTACCCCCAGGAAAGAAGGTGGGTGTTCTAACGCCCCTAGTCAGTTACCAGATCCAGGATTCTGGCTGCCAGGGGTACATACTGCGCATGCCATGCAGAAAAGTTATTGCAAAAGGAATTGTGCCCGGGGCTGCCACGATGCACAGTTCCGGGTGGGGGGGGGCATCCACACCGTAACCTACCAGATGGGGTCCCCTGGAGTTGGAACAGTGCGGCAGTGTTTGGTGGCCCTCTCTCCCTGCCTTTTTCTAGCACACAGTCTCTATTTACAGATCTCCAAACACAGAACCTTTCACAAGCATAAATACTCGTCAATTACAGCAAAGCTCTGTTTGGATTCATGCTTTTCTTTTCAGAGACAGAACAGCATGGCACCTATGCTACTCACTGCAAGATTCAGAACTGGCCTGTGGAAGATGGGGTTGGCCTCTCTGGCCGTGCTCTCCCTAAGAAGATGTTAGATTTGGGGAAGCACAGAGATTCTTTGCACTTGGCCTACAATGTTACCTTCTGGGGAGACTTCTGCTGTTTCTTGATGTCAAGATGCCCAGTCCTTGGCAGGGGCGGTAGAATTTGTTGTTTTGTAAACAAGACCTGTCATTGGCCTCGTAAACAACAAACAGCTCACTACGTTAAGCTGAAGCGTGCATTGTTTTCCAGAACCTTCCTGGTCCCAGGGAATGGCAAATTACGGCCCACGGAATGCTGATTTGAGACACTGCGCTAATAACCATCTTCCTTGCCCACAGCAATCATCTCCCACAATGGGCTGGACTCCAGAGACGTGGTCAGAATTTCTCCATACCTGGCATAAGTGACGTTCACGTCCATTTCTTCTTTTTCAGTCTCTCATGGGATTTCGGTCTCAGCCTTTGCATTTTCCCAGGGACTGGTTAGCGAGGCCGTTGCAGGTGCTCGGAAATGGCGGGACACGGGCTGGATGAAAGGGATTGTTTCACCGGGGCCAGAAGCGCGCCGCAGACTTTCTATAGGCCCATCCAGATCCCCTCTCCACCCATCTCCATCCTCCTCCGTGGACTGGATCACCGCCTCCCTTGTCCTCTGCCTTCTGTTTGGTTTGGCCAATGGGAAGCACTAACTGGGATCCAAGGACGCCAGGAGAGTGAGGAGGGGGGAGTCTTCATCCCCCTGCCTGGGTCGCTGCAGGTTGGCTGCCTCATTTGAGCTGCTGCCCGAGAGTCCCCGTCCTAGGCTGCTCTCCCTCTTCTTCCTCCAGCCTGGGGCAGTGACTGCACCGCTGCCAGGCAGGGGGCTGCAGTCCTGCACTGGCTCCCTTAACCCTCTCCCCACATCATTAAAAACCGTGTCCCGTGTTAACCTCTCCTCGGTCACCCTGCGTGACCCTGTGTCTGCTTCCTGCCAGCACCCTGGCTGATACGCAAGTGCATGGACCAGATGCGTCTTCACTGCGGACTCACACTAACGGAAGAATATGCATATATTTTAGGATGTGCACAGATTATCCACTTTTAAAAAAGTGCTGTTTCCCAGTTCCCATGAGCACAGCTGGCCAGCCTCAGAGGAAATCTGTCTGTATCCCCCGAAGGAGTCCCTGCTTCCTCACTCTGCTACTCTGCCAGCTCAGCCCGCCCACCCCACCCCCTCCCCAGCTCAGCCCCCGCCTCCTCTTGCAGATGGCCTGCCCTGTGCTGCCTGTGGCCGTGAACTTCTTAGCTACTCATTCCGGTATGTGTGACTCTCCTTTCTGAGAAATGCTTGTCATTGCAGAGTCAGGCTCCTGCCAGGACAGTGTCAAACAACAAGAAGCTGGTTTTGCTGCGAATCATCTTCTCTGGCATCAACCGCACTCCAGCAGGCTTGGGCCTGAACTGATTAATCAGACTGACCTGATTCACACGACGTTGTTTCCGCCCCCACTCAGATAACCCTCAGGCTCTCAGACGGAGGGTGACTAATGGAGCCACCCGAAGGCAGGAAACTCTGAGGCTGGTGGAGAGCGAGCACAAGTCCAGATGAAGTGTGAGCTCGCACATCTGGAGAGCTGGGGAAGTCACGCTGCATGACTGGCTGCAGACTCCTGGAGGAGGCCTTCAGGCTGGGCTTGCTCAGGCTCAGGGGGCTGGGAGAGGGGGTAGCGTCTGAATATCTGGCTTCGAATCCCAAACCTGTTGCTTTCTAGTCAGGAGAGCTCTGGCAAGTTATGTAGCCTCACTGTGCCTGTTTTTTCTTCTTTAAAAATGGGGCAGTGGGGTGCCTGAGTGGCTCAGTTGGTTAAGCATCCCACTCTTGATTTCGGCTCGGGTCATGATCTCACGGTTTGTGGGTTCGGGGCCTGCATCTGGCTCTGTGGCAGTGCAGAGACTGCTTGGGATTCTCTCCCTCTGCCCCCAACCCCACTTGCAATCAATCAATCAATCAATCAATCAATCAATGTGATAAAGAAGATTGGTGTGAGAATGAAACATAAAAGTACTTTCAAGAAACCTATTGTCGGGGCGCCTGGGTGGCTTAGTCGGTTGGGAGTCCGACTTTCGCTTAGGTCATGATCTCGCGGTTCGTGGGTTCGAGCCCCGCGTCAGGCTCTGTGCTGACTGCCAGCTCAGAGCCTGGAGCCTGTTTCAGTCTGTGACTCCCTCTCTCTCTGACCCTC